TACCCTGACCTATGAGATATCTGAACTTTCAAATATTAAGAATTATCCGCCCTGGCTGGCGTAGCTCAGTGGTTTGAGCGCGGGCTGCGAACCAAAGTGTCGCAGGTTCAATTCCCAGTCAGGGTACATGCCTGGGTTGCAGGCCATGACCCCCAGCAACCGCACATTGATGTTTCTCTCTCTCTCTATCTCCCTCCCTTCCTTCTCTAAAAATAAATAAAATCTTTAAAAAAAAAAAGAATTATCCTTCATCTTTACACTACTTAAAGAATTTTCTTGCTGTAAGAGGAATTATTTGTTCTAGTAGAAAATCAGTTCTTAAAAAAAAAAAGGAAATCAGTCCTTGTTTTTCCTGTCACCTGTTTCTTATTTGCTCATAAAATGGCCTTTTCTTTTGCTGAACTAGACACCTTAGTTCCTTGCTCATTTTAACTTTAAACAAACAAAAGACGACTCACTAAAAAACACAACTTTGGGGAGGTGGGGTATCCCTTACCACTTGCCGGTACTTGTTTACATTTTCTTGAAGTGTGTTAAGTAGAAAACTGAAGATCCTTTCCATGTTCTGGGTTAATGTTTGCTGGATGTCCCTTCTTCTTTGAAAGGGCAGTGTATGAAAGGTCACTACATCCTCTGCCAGTCGCAAAAGGATGAACATCACTAATTCTGTCTGTGTTTCCTGTATCAAGAGAAATAAACTAGTTAAATTCCAACATCTTTTCCATGTAGGTATGCCTAAAAGCTCTTTTCTGTTGACAAAACAAAGAAACCCCTGAAGAGCCAAAACCCCCCAAAAAACAACAAAAACACACCCCCTCCCCCCCAAAACACCAAAAACTGAATTGACACTACTGTATTTCATACCCCTTGTTTGGAAAGAGTGTCCAATTCTATGAGCATGTCAGGCCAGTGCTGTGGCCACTCCCGCTTGATCATTTCTACTACAATTCGAGACAGAACATCTTTAATGTGGTTCTCCTCTTCCAAGATATTCAGTGTTCCCTGAAGAAGAAAAAGATATTAAGAGGTCTGGAAGAGTGAATTCAAGGGGAAAACAGGACTATAAAAATATAAAAACTCATCAGCCAGCCTGAATTTAAAGTAAACAGAGTAAACAAACCTGTTCTCCATGTCTGAGTCATTTGTCCTGCATTCTTGCTAATTATTCCTCCCACCTAAAACTTAAGTGAGGGTTTTACCGGCTAATAAAATGGCTGTCACACAGAGCAAGGAAGACATCATTGTTGTCCTTTAGAAATTGAGGAGACTCTCATATGGATGGTTTCATTTTGTTAGAGGGCCAGGGTGGAAGAAAACAGAAATAAGGAATATGTTGAAGGGCTGCTAAAATGGGAGAGTTAGGAGGAGCACCTAAATATTTCACCAATAGTTCTAGTATGAGAAGATACAGAAAGACTATTATGAGTTTTAGCAAGTTTTCCCAGAACGAGCAAATTACAGACCCTGAGTTAATTAATAATTTTGAAGGACATTTTTTTTTCTATCAAAGGCACCAGACTTTGGGGATGAACAGGGGTGGGAATTCCACTTTTTATGCCCTTTAAAAGGAAAAAAAGGCCCTGACTGGTGTGGCTTAGTGGACTGAGTGCCAGCCTGCAAACCAAAAGGTGGCCAGTTTGATCCAAAGGGTGGCCAGTTTGATTCCCAGTCAGGGCACATGCCTGGGTTACAGCCAGGTCCCCAGTAGGGGGTGTGCAGGAGGCAACCCTCATACACAGATGTTACTCTCCCTTTCTTTCTCCCTCCCCCTCTTTCTCTAAAGATAAATAAATAAAATCTTTAAGAAAAAAAAAGAAAAGAAAAAAACGCTATGGATTTTAAACATGTTTAAAGTCATATTCTAACTCCTGAAACAAATTCATTCTGCTTACTTTTTACTGTTACTGTCATACAGTGCGTTTGTGATGAATTACAATTTCTTGTGACGGTGGTTCTTCTTACCTTGAACGTAACATTTAATATCATACAAAATAGGCTGTAATATATAGAACCACTGAATTTTTACACAAACGCTACACTGAAGAAGTCACTCTGTCTAAACTACATTGGAAACACAAGTCGTCCAACCAACAATTCCTTACATTTTCAATCAGCTCCATGACACTGTTCTTCAGATAGACCTTCTCCAATCGAGACATGCTGTTCCACCGAAACCTGGCCACCAAAATGCATAAAGTCAACAGACCACATTAGAAGTCTTCTCTTGACAAGACTTTAAGTCTGGTGTTAGATCATGTTGGCAATTTCACTAAGAAATTAAACTTTTGATTTCATATGCCTCAATGAACAGACAAAACAGTTCACACTTAACCAAAATGCTAACAGAGAAAGTCTGGGGAAATAGTTTTTATTAAGGCAGTAAGCCATTAATTGGAACCCATACAGGATTTACACACAGATCAGCTTTCCCCTTGATTTTCCTGACAGACCAAAAGCAAATGTATACACCTGAAACAATTGCAACAATGTAACTGTTTTTCAGAAAATACAATCTTGATATTGCTAATTCCATTTCTGTGATGGTTTACAAAGTAATACCGCAATTCCAGAAAAACTGGCTAATACTTAAAAACAGATTGATTCTTCTGACAGACATTGGGGGTAGGAGACTAAAGTTAGAAAGGGTTTTCAGTTATTTTCATATGATTCTGCTTTGGAGTTGCCATTCAGAGAAGGCCCATACTCAAACTTCAGAAAAAAAATTAAAGGCAAAAATGCCTAATCAGAGATTTGTTTCCCTATGCATTGCATTATTCTAAAAAGACTTAGAGATCTATGGCATATAGTCAGAACTCAATAAATGCTGGTTGAATGATGATCAGCTAACATTTGTAGAGTACTTAGTATGTACTATGCAGTTCCACATGGACAAATAAACTGAAGAAGAGAAAGGTCAGGTCCTGAATGAGAGCTCCAGTGAGGCTGTGGTAACCTCTTGGGGATCAGTCCTTTCTTCTTCGGGATTGCTCTTTTCTATTCACCTAAAGCGTACCTCTATGAGTTATATAAGAACTAAAGATTTGCACCCTCAAGACTTCAGTGGTAACATCCAAAAGCTCCTTACTTGACAACATGTTCCAGGATCTGAAGGCCAAAATGTCTGACGATAGCAATCTGTGTTTTCTCAGCCAACCTCAAGCCACAGGGGACACAGACAGGGCACTTTTCTTTAAACTCCTCACAAAACTAAAAGAAGAAAAGTTAACATTTTCCTTAGTAGCCAAGAGGGTAGAAACTAAAAAAACCTTCATCTTAACTCCAACCTGAGCCATATTTTTAAACTGCAAAATACAGATCAATATTATGAGTAAGGAACCCATAAACATTCCTTTCACTTTCATAGTTTTAGATTTCCCATGCACTATCCCAACTAATGTTGAAAAAAATATCTGACCTAAAAGACTAAAAAATGTTAGAGATACACCCCTGAAGTATATAGGAATGAAACGACAATTTCTAGGATTTGTTTTAAAAACTTTTGGTGAAGGAGAAGGATAAAGCAAATGTAAAATCTTGGTAACACCTGAGTTGATGCGATGGGTATACACAAAATCACTGTAGTCTCTCTACTTTTGTGTCTATTTTTAATATTTTATAGTAAAAAAACAAGTATAACCCAACCGTTTGATTCCAAATTCTGTGGCATACATCTACACATTTTAAATTTCTTCCAAGTGATGCTCACTGTACATCACTTAAACTGTGCACAGCACAAGTATTCTTTTCCTAATGGTCATTTCATTTCTCACAGCGCACAAACATTGTTTGATGCAGAAATATGCTCATATTGCATTAGCATCCCCATTCGTATTAGCATCCCCAAATTGCAGCACAAGAGTCAGCAGTCCCAGGAACAGAGCATCCGGGACTCAAGAAAACTACTTTCAGGAAATCAAAGTGCCCTCGTTAAAATGCAAAGCAAGTGGTTCGAAGTTCGTCTTTGCGCAAAATAGCCTAAGAACATCACACAATAAAAAATATAGGGGGACGGCGTGTGAGAATTAGCCCAGAAATACCCAAGACACATAGAGGTCAGGGAGGGATGTAAAGATGTAAGTAAAAGGACACTCCCGGGTCTGGCACTCATTTAGGGCCGGTCAGGAGAACGGGTTAGCAGGGAAACACCTAGCGCAGGGGAGACCGTAGAGAATGTAGCTGGTGCTGAGTACGGGACGGACACGTGCGCTACGGAAAGGCGAGGGGATGCGGGGATGCGGGGATGCACGGCTCTGGGGAATAAAGTTAAGTGCAGCCAGCTGTGGAGGGGGGCGTCGTAGTGCGAACAGAGTGAAGAGAAGTAGGGGACAGGGGAGGAGAGGGCAATGCGAAGTGGTGGTGAGATGAGACCGCCAAAAGCAGTTACGGACCGGGACGTCCCGGGAAAAGGGCAGGCGCCACCAGCAGAGAAGGCTGGCAGTGGGAAAAGGCGCGGAGGGCGGTGAAAGAAGGCCCCTCGGAGTTGAGGAGGGAAGTCCAAGGGCCTCGTGGGCTGGAAACTACCAGGCTTGTGGACGGCACCGGGACAGCTGGGCTGAGGGAGGGTCTAGGGCAGGCCCCACGCGCCAGACCCCAGCTACCTTCAGGGCTTCCAGCCGATAGCGCTGGGTGGAGCTGGGGTCCATCATGACCGTCACCGCCTTCACCAGCTGCTCGCACAGCGCGTTCACTTGATCCATTGCCATGGCTACTGCCACGCGCCGGGAGAGCGCACTACGGCCGTCCCGGGAGCACAAGGTACAAACTGCTCCCTCGCCGTGATAACACGCTAGTACCGGGCCGCGGCGAGGTAGGGGGTGGAGGGCGGGAGGAGGAGCCGTGTGCGGCAGAAGATCCAGCCGGGAAAGAACCGGCGGGGCACACGCGCCCGATCCTCCACTACGCACGCGCCGGCGGAAGTGGCGGCTCACTTGTGACGGTTGCCCCTGGGTGGGCGAAGCTTGGGACGGAAGGGCCGCCGTGCGCAGGCGCGTCAACGCCCTTCGCGGCGGGCGCGCTGAATGATATCTGTCAAGTGGGTTAGCAATTGAGCGCCCTGGCTTTGACTGAACCTGTGGGGCGCTGCCCGGCCAAGGATTCTCTGCGACTCTTGGTCTGGTTTTCATCCTTACGGGGAATAAATCTCTCGATACTAACTGGCTTGCTGCCGGAAAGGGGACAGTTATTCCAAGACCCACTCATCTTCCAGTGGACACCGAGCCTAGCATTTGCATCGTCCGCAGTTTGGCAGTTTTACCAGGGGTCTGCAACATTGGTAAGAGAATTCGAAAATTTTTGGTATCACTGTTTTCAAACTTTTCGGTTGCTTTAGCTATTGGTTTTATGATATAGCAGTGACTGGTGACAACATTGGGCCAAAATTATATGAAATGGAAATACACGCTCACAGAGATATATGGCCCTGGTATTCTCCTCTAAGAGAATTTTTCGTGTGGAAAAAATAATATTTTTCTCTATAGCTCTTAACCTCCCTCTTGTACTTACTTTCCTTGGATGTGTTATCTCCTGATTGGCACCAAACTTGTTTTGTGCAGATTGGGATAAATTGAGATATTTAAAGACGAATAATTGCAAGTTATTGAAAGTTTGAGCGGTGTGATCTTTTGAAGTGCTTGCTATATATGCTTCACAGTAGTATAAAACCCTTATCCCGAAAATGGGGCTTTGGCAGAGAGTGTGTTTCACTTCCCATCTTTTAAAAAGCTCTTCCTTTCACCAGCAAAATATGTAAACTGAAAACTTGAACAGCTTCATTATCTGTTCAAGTGTGCGTATCGGTTTTTGCATTTATATACTAATACGTTTGCTGGACTTAAATCACTGCTCCCTATTCATACTCCACTTTTGGTACTTGTATCTACTATGGTGCATATCTGTTGTCTTTGCGTGTGTGAAACGCATTTACTATTTTTACTCTGGCATCTGTTCCAGTGCTATGCAAAAGGCACTTCAGTCAATGTATTTCATTCTGCCTGTTGTCAGTGAGTAGAATTTATAAGGAATTAATGCCTTGACTCTCTGATTTTTAAAAACTCATTGTTTTCTTTCCACTAGTCATCCACTTTGTAGTTGCATGCCACTTTTTTCAAGGTGAATGTTAATTTTTGACACTTTTTTAAAAGAATACAGTTGAGTGCTTACTCAACTGTATAACCTGTGTTCCTCATATTTAAATCATGAATTACTGGTGTTTTCATAAGTATCTTAAATACTTTAGGTCAGTGTTTCTCAATCTCTGCTACATATTAAAAGGGCCTGGAAAGCTTGTAAAAATCACAATGCTCTGCTTATATCCATACCAATTAAATTAGGATGTCTGGTGGTCAATCCTAAAAGCCAATATCAATGTTATTTAAATATTCCTAGGTGATTCCAGTATGCAGCAAAGTTTGGGAGCCACTTCTTTAGTTTATATTCCTTCTTCTAATTTTCTAACACTGTTAAATGATAATATTAGTCTGTATCCACTATCAAATATATAAGGTTTATTCTTCCAATCTACTGTCCATTCCTTTATACATGTCTATGCTGAAATAGTATGTAGCATTGTTTTCTTTTACATGAATGAGTAGAAAATCACCATTAGAACACAGCAAAATGATTGTCCCAGGCAAGATTCACTGATGGGTGCTTAGTGGTTGAAAATTCGAGGAGAAACAGGATATTTGCAGCCTCAAATTATCTCCCTTAAGATTAGTTACAAAAGGAAAAATAGTAACTTTACTATGAGAAACATGGCAAAAACTTTCTCAACTAAATGATCATGGTTAATATCATCAGTAATAAGACATATTGATATTATGTACCTCCCAAAATGATACACTGAGAAGAGCACATAATTTATGTAATATTCTTGGCAAAAATGCATAACCTCAGTCTAATTAAGAGAAAATATCAGACCAACTTAAACTGAGAAATATATTCTCAAAGTAACTGACTAGTTTTCTTCAAAAGTGTCAAGGTGATGAAAAACAAGGGAAGATTTAGGAGGTGTCTCAGACTGGAGAAGATTAAGCAGACATGATGACTAAGATCAGATCCTAGATTGGATCCTGGAACAGAAAAAAGGTATCAGTGGAATAACTGGTGAAATTCAAGTAGTTAAATATCATACCAATGTTCATTTTTTAGCTTTGATAATTATGCTGTGTAAAATATTAACATTAGGGGGAACTAGGTGTAGGAGAACCCTACTATTTTTGCAATATTTTTTTAAGTCTAACATTATTTTAAAATAGAAAGTTAAAGAAATTCACATGATGCCCTGGCTGATGTGGCTCAGTGGATTGAGTGCTGGCCTGTGAACGAGGGATTGCCAATTTGATTCCCAGTCAGGGCACATGCCTGGGTGCTGGGCCCAGGTCCCCAGTTGAGGGTGTGAGAGAGAGGGAATCACACATTGATGTTACTCTCCTCTTTCTCTCACCCTTTTCCTCTCTAAAAATAAATAAATAAAAACTTGAAAAAAAAAGAGGAACTGCTTGGGGCTTCAGCAGTGTCTCCCACTGACTCAATCCCTACGGGTTTTTTTTTTAATAAAAGAAAAAAAAAAGAAATTCACATGAATGCTGTGATTTTATATATCATTTTCTGTTTCTCTTTTCTCTGAATTTATACTTGAGATTTATATATGAACTAGATCAACTGTTGGCTTAATCCGTCTGTTGATGTGAATTGTGGCTTTAATTTGCATTTCCCTAAGACTAACGATATTTCATTTTCATGTACCTATTGACTATTTTTTTAAAGATTTTATTTATTTATTTTCAGAGAAAGGGTTGGAGAAAGAGAGGGAGAGAAACATCGATGTTTGGCAACTGCCTCTGGTGTGCCCTCAACTGGGGACCTGGCCCATAACCTAGGCATGTGCCCTGACTGGGAAACAAACCGCTGACCCTTTGGTTCTCAGACTGGCACTCAATGCACTGAGCCACACCAGCCAGGGCCCAACTGACTATTTGTATATCTTTTGTGAAGTGTTCAATTCTTTTGGGAGACGGATATTTTTAAAGCTTTTAATACTTACTACCTTCCTAAAATTGTACCAATTTATTATTCTCCTTCAAGTAGTAGATGAAAATGCCTGTTTTATTCTTGTTAGTTTCCAGGCTCTCATGCTCATGGTAACTCAACACTGGAAGGAGGGAAATACAGTTTTCCTTGGCAATTTGGATTAGGTATCCTTTTTAACTGTCTATGAAATATTATCTTACAGAAACATGGCTAATGGACAGGACCGCGTAGTAGCTCTAGTGGACATGGACTGTTTTTTTGTTCAAGTAGAGCAGCGGCAAAATCCTCATTTGAAGAATAAACCTTGTGCAGTCGTACAGTACAAATCATGGAAGGGTGGTGGGTAGGTATCAGTTTTATTGTTGAAACTGTCAACTACTGTTTTAATTTATAAGAATGCATGGCACTATGCTAGGTTCTGTTTTTGAGAGTAATGCACTGCTGTGTTTGAGATCAAATAGTGGCATCAATGGCCAAAAAGTTTCTGCTGTTTACGTGTATAGCCTGTAGATGTTAAATTCTAGTTACTTTTGCTCATGTGGTGTTTTTCTGTCCCTTTTCTTTCCAACCTTAGAATAATTTCAGTGAGTTATGAAGCTCGTGCATTTGGGGTCACTAGATACATGTGGGCAGATGATGCAAAGAAGTTATGCCCAGATCTTCTACTGGCACAAGTTCGTGAGTCCCGTGGGAAATCTAACCTCACAAAGTAAGAAGAACAGATTGTTTAAGGGGAATGGAAGGGTTGGAAATAATATGCCATGAGGCTAGGAACTGATGTTTCAAATTTTGTGTAAATAATGTCTGAAAAAGTTACCTTTGATCAGTCAACTTTTTAAAATTTATTTCTTTATTTTTAGGGAGAGGGGAAGGGAGGGTGAAAGAGAGAGAAACATTGATATGAGAGAAAAACATTGATCAGTTGCCTCTCACCCATGCCTCTGCTGGGACCGAACCCGAAACCTAGGCATGTGCCCTGACTGAGAATCAAACTGGTGACTTTTTGCTTTGCAGGATGACACCCAGCCAGCTGAGCCACACTTGTCAGGGAGGTCAGCCAACTTTTCTGTGTCATATGAAAACGGATTCCGATATTGTATTTCAGGAATAATTCAGAGTCATTATAATCTGCAACAATTGCTGTTCTTGACACCTTCTCACTTTCTTACTTTAAAATTGGTTGAACCTAATGAACAAAATAAACTAATAAGCAAAACAGAACCAGAGACACGGAAACAGGGAACAGACTGACAGATGTCGGAGGACGGGGAAGCGGGGCAAGGGGGACTGGTGGAAAGAAGGGGAAGGGATTAGTCAAAGAACATGTACAAACGACGCATGGACGTGGAGAACGGTCTGAAGATGGACTTTTCGAGCAGGGGTGGGCTGGACAGAGGAGGGCAAAGAGGGAAAAATTGGGAAAACTAATAGAGTAAACAAGAATTAAAAATAAATTTTAAAAAATGGTTGTTATAATTACAACTCAATATCAATTTCTATGTTCTCAAGCCAGGTCTGCAGTATTTGAAGTAATTAAATTGACTGTGAAACTAAGAGTTTTTCCAGAAAAAGCTGAGTCAAACTGACATTCTAATGCGATATCTAGAATTATTTGCCAGAATCGAACAATCTTAAAGGAGAGTACCATCTCTGATTTTGAACTGACCTGTCTTTTCCCAACTTTTAGGTTAGTCTTGAAATGGGAGATATCTATAGCCATAGCCAAGTTATGGGCAGTTACAAGCCCAAACCATTTTAATAATCCCAATAGTTTGTATTGAGTATATGTTATATGTCAGGCACTGTGTTAAGCTCTCCATAAGCAATATCTCTTAAATTTCATGTTATATGGTATGTTCCAGTAGTATACTCCTTCCCTACCACACACTCACAGATGGGGAAACAACCTTAGAGAGGTTAAATAATTTTCCACAGCAAGAAAATAGAAGACTGAGGATTCAGTTTTTTTCATATTCCACTATCCACATTCTCACAGTACACTATACCATGTGATATGGTGTGTGTAGATCATGCTTTGATTTGGGACTTGAGATATTCCTGAATTCACCTATGAATTGGAAGTCTACAGGTAGAGTGTCATAGCCAACCACACATTGAAGTTATTGCCAGGAAAGAAGACAGATTTGACTGGAGCTTAATATCTTAACCCTAGATTAGAATTCATTCAGCTAACAGACATATGCTACATTGCATTGAATAGAATTTTATGCTGGTAGAGACAATGTAACTTTGCAGAAATATAGTTGTGTGATTTTGAAAAGTCACATGTCACCAATTTTAAACTTTTTGAACAAAAGCAGTTTCAGAAAATTTAGGAGTAAGTTTGTAGACAAGAGCATTATCAAGACCTGATGATTTAAAATTATTAGTTTAGTGCTGGCTGGTGTGGCTCACTGGATTGGCCTGTGAACTGAAAGGGCCCTGTTTCGATTCCCAGCCTGGGCACATGCCTCGGCTGCAGGCCAGGTCCCCAGTTGGGGGCGCGTGAGAGGCAACCGATTAATGTTTCTCTCCCTCTCTCTTCCTTCCCCTCTTTCTAAAAATAAAATCTTTAAGATTATTTTAATAATTAGCTTGAGATACCAGGTTATTAAAAATAAAAATACAATTTTTAAAAGTATATATACACTAAGATTATTAAGTATTTTTAAGAATACTTTGGAGCAATTTGCTCAAGAGGCTGTGAAGGAGAAACAACCACTACAGCAGAGTGCCCTTTCCTTGCCCTGTATGTGGGTGAGTGTGTTGAGCTCTCGTGCTCTTGTGCACACTTGAGCTCTCTCTTTTTATTTTTGAGGTCTGACTCTCCATCCCAAAAAATGACTAAAAAAGGAAAGAAGCCATCTTTTTCTCATTCTTTTTCTAACTCTGTCATTTAAGAATATTTTAGAACAAATTTTACTAGTTTTGATAGATATCTTAGTGAAGGGGTGCACATATTTCCATTTTTATGGTAAATAAAATAGATTCAACAGGAGTAAAGAACTTATTTAAATTCTGTAATAAGTGCAAAGCAAAAAAAATATCCACATATTACCACAGAAAACTAGCTATATGCATCCAGAAGAGCTGCTTGGTATGGTCTGAATAGACGGTTTACGGTGACACTGGTATTCCCCAGCGGAGGCTATGTGCCTGTCCAGGCACACTACCACATTCTAGGAGCTTATTTTCAACTTTATCATTTGAATGTTAGTATATTCAGAAGTTATTGGTACTTGCTTTGGCAGCACATATACTAAAATTGAAACAATACAGAGAAGATTAGCATGACTCCTGTGTAAGGATAACACGCAAATTCATGAAGAAGTGATTGGTCTTGATTCATTGTGTGTGTGTGTGTGTGTGTGTGTGTGTGTGTGTGTAGCGAGGACCAGCTCACATGTTAATCAAACTCACCACTGAGTATAAAATCCACATGTCACCTGGTTAATTTATAATGAAAAATACTGTCCTGAGGAGAAGAAGATACTTGGGTTCACTAATCAGTGCAGTGTTCCCTATAAGTTACCTCATTTTTTGTTACCTCTTGTTTGAAGACAGCAGTAGAAGCAGAATACTATGTAGTGTGTATATGAAAATTAAAAAAAAATGGGTGATCAGAGTAAAATGTTTCTAGTTAAACTAATTAGAAGCATTTCTTTTCTCTCTTTTTTAAAGATTTTATTTATTTATTTTTTAGAGAGGGGAAGGGAGGGAGAAAGAGAGGAAGAGAAACATCAATGCGGGCCAGCACTCAATCCACTGAGCTACATCAGCCAGGTTTTCTTTCCTCTTTAGAGTGATCCTTGTCACATAGACATGTTCATGGTCTCAATGCTTTCTACCTTTAGTGTGCTAGAGTTGCCATGCAAATGTTTGCCTGTATGGTTCTTTTTCCTTGCCTCTGTTATTGACTATCTCCCTGCTTATCAATCCCTTTAGTTGGGTTACTATCTATTCTCTGACAAGCCATTCCTTTCTTTAAGGAGGTCTTACACTGATTATGTATATTATTATTCTATTATGAGGGAGGGATGTGTCCCACAGTCTCAATGTTGCCTCTATTTATTGCCTACGTGTACAATCCTTATACTTCTTAGGTACCGGGAAGCCAGTGTGGAAGTGATGGAGGTAATGTCTCATTTTTCTGTGATTGAACGTGCCAGCATTGATGAAGCTTATGTAGACCTAACCAGTGCTGTACAAGAGAGACTACAAAAGCTGCAAGGTCAGCCTATCTCTGCAGATTTGTTGCCAACCACCTACATTGAAGGGTTGCCCCAAGACCCTACAACAGCAGAAGGGACTGTTCAGAAAGGTACTTCCATACCATCATTTGCTTCTGCTTCCTGCCTTTGGAGCCTGCTTTGCTTGGTCACACTGATATTCTTGGACTGATTGAAAGGAAACTTAAACTGCAACCTGAATGAATTACAAGGACTCATGGAGGGATATACAAATTCTCTTATCTTTCCAGGTATATGGATTTTTAGAAGCTTGAGATCTGTATGAAATCAAGTTTCTCTTTAGATATGATTAAGGCAGGTTAGAGTTATCAACAGAAGTCTGAGCACTTCCATCATTTGCAGGTTAATTTATATTATTTTAACTTGCTTTCTTTATCATAAGAATGGTGAGGTGTTTTTTTTTGTTGTTGTTGCTGTTGTTTTAAGGTAGACCTCAAGTACTGGGAGTTGTGCAAAGCCTCTCTCATTTTATTTTACTTCTTTTTCCCTTTCTGGTGATTCCTCCCACTCCCTCCCAACCTCACACACCCTTTGGCACCACCAGTACATTTTGTATATCTTAAATATGTATATGTCTTTATAATTATATACCGATTATGTTACTTTGTGTATGTGCTTTTTTTTTAATATGAGAGGTGGCATTTATTACTTATTTTTTTAAAAGGAGATTCTTTTTTTTCTTTTTTTTTTTTAAAGATTTTATTCATCCATTTTTAGAGAGGGAAGGGAGGGAGAAAGAGAGAGAGAGAGAAACATCAATGTGCGGTTGATGGGGGCTGTGGCCTGCAACCCTGGCATGTGCCCTGACTGGGAATCGAACCTGCGAAGCTTTGGTTCGCAGCCCGTGCTCAATCCACTGAGCTACGTCAGCCAGGGATTAAAAATTTTTTATTTATTGATTTTTGAGAGGGAGAAAAACATCAGTATATTGTTTCACTTATTTATATATTCATGGGTTGATTCTTATATGTATCCTGACCAGGGATTGAACCTGCAACCTTGGCATATTGAGACGGTGCTCTAACCAACAAAGCTATCCCGCCAGGGCACTTTCAATGAATTTTTTAAATAAAAAAATTTGACTTACCTGTTGTAGTATATCAGCTTCTTCTGAGATCTGGAATCTAGTATGTTTTCCCTTTTCTTTCTTATCTGAAGTTTTAATTGATATACAAAAAACACACAAATTGTAAGGGTACACTTTGATTTTCACAAAGTAAACCAATTTGAATAAGCATGACCCAGATCAAAAAACAGCCATTTTAATAGGTATATAATGATATCACATTGTGGTTTTAGTTTGCATGTCAATGAAATTGAGCACTTTTTTGTAAGTTTATTGACCATTTAGACTATCTCCTTTCATGGAATGTATGTTTAAGTCTTTCACTCATTTTTTGTTGGATTGCCTTGTTTCCTCGTATAGGACTTTTTTGTTGTAGATGTGACTCCTTTATCAAATATACATATGGTAAATATCTCCAATCTGTGGCTTCCCCCCCCCACTCTCTTAATAGTGACTTTTGATGAACAGAGGTTTTTAATTTTAATTTGGTCCAATTTCTTTTTCTTTTCCCGTATGGATAGCATTTCTTTATGTCCTGTTTAAGAAATCTTTCCCTATTTCAAGGTCATGAAGAAATTCCCTGTCTTATTCTAGAAGCTTTATTGTTTTGCTTTTCACATTTAGTTTTACAATTTATTGTGTAAATGTCTGTAGGGTATGAGGTGGGATCAAGATTCCTTCTATTATTAAATTAATATCCAACTATAATGGCTTTATTAAAGCTTTAATTTTTCTATAAAGATCTTGTACATTCATTTGTCATGCTAGTTCATAGATGCTTTAATTTTTTATCGCTGTGGTGATTTTTTAAATATACTTCTTGATTTTTTTAATATATATTTTTAAGATTTTATTTATTTATTTTATAGAGAGGGACAGGGAGAGAGAAAGAGGGAGAGAAACATCAATGTGTGGTTGCCTCTCGTGTGGGCCCCAGTGGGGACCTGGCCCACAACCCAGGCATATGCCCTGACAGGGAATTGAACTGGTGACCTTTGGTTCCCAGGCCGCTCTCAATTCACTGAGCTACACCAGCCAGGGCCTATAGTGATATTTTTAAAAATTTTCTACTTGATTATTGATGTACAGGGGAATGATAAGTGATTTTTTTAATGAGTTATCTTTATTTGTCTACTTAGCAAAAAGTTGTGATATAACGTGCATGAAAGTGCTTTAAAAATAAAATGTACTTGGTGGTTAAAAATATTTTCTTAGACTAGAATAAAATTAGGGCAATAAAAAATTTGCTTTTGTGGTAATACTAGATTATACTGGTTCTAGATATAAGATCTAAGAGAATCTGAGTCTTATTTTTTTAATCAAATATTATGAACATGAAATTCAACTGGATTTCCCAAAAAATTCTTTCTGCATCTAGAAGCTTTTCAGCAGGGTATCTACACTTTGTTCCTTTGTTCCTAGACGTGTTCTAGGGCTTTTGATCATGGCTATATTCAAAACAGTGTATCTATTCTCCCTTCATTTGTAACGTGTACTTTTAGAACTATTATTTTGTAACATTGTTCTTATTCATAACAACTTTCTGTAAAAAAAAAAAAGGCAAGGAAAGAAAAGAAAAAGAAAAACCTTTAAAATATGGATATTTGCCAAAAGGAAACTGGATACAAATCTATGGCAAGTTAACTTCTTGGGGGGAAAAATAGGACAATCTGTTATTACTTATAGAAACAATACAGATTTCTCCAGAAAAAGCTCCAAGAGAGTTTAGCTTATTTCTAGTACAGTGATGAATTTCCCGTGGGTTTTCTGTCTTTTAAAAAGATGTAAAGTATTAAAATATTGAAGATTCCTTACTGTATAATATGCCTTTAACAGGTCGTGTCGAAGGGTAGTAGAACTGTCTAGGGAAGCTTGTGGAAATGATCATTTAGAAATTATTTTATTCTCTGTTCCTGATACAGGAGAGTTTATCAAGCTGGAATCTGCAGATCCTTTAGTTCTATAGGGAAAATGCAATGGACAATAAAAATGTGCCACTTGAAAGAGGCAAAGGTATCATATATAACCAGTTGGTGATGAAACGTCATGATTTCTTTATTCTGAATCAGAGTCAGAGATTATTGATCATAATAAAGAAGGTTTTCTTTAGTCTTAGCTTTGTGTGTCACATTTTACTGTGTAGCTTATTTTTTTAAAATAGACATTTGGAATTTCTTTTATAATGCTTTAAATTATTGGTTCTTTAAAGTTTTTTTTTTTTTTTAGGGCTACATGTCCTTTAGAAAATCTGTCTTATCTCAGAAAAATACAAAAAATAAAAATACAAATCTACACATAAGACAATTTTGTGTGCAATTTTCAAGAGATTCACAAATCCTCTGAAACCCATATACCTCAGAATGAGAACTGTTATTACACATTACAGTAGTATTTGGCTGAAACTCATTATTGAACAACTCTCTGGCTGAAGATTATGGAACATAACGTTTGTTGGTGATCCAGTATTAGCTCAAATGGCCATACTCCTCTTCCTCCTCAAATCTATTGATCTTTCTTATCCATATACGTTTTTATTTTAAATGCCAATTTTGATAAAGAAGTCATATTTCTGTGTCTTAGGTATCTGTTGCTTTAGTGTGTCCAGTTTAAATATTAAGCTTACAAATGCAGTGACAGCACCTTATTATTTATAGTGTTCAGAATATTGCAATGTCTACTAAATGGTTTATGAAATTGCATATCATATTCCTGAGTCTTCATTTGATGTTGTAACAACAAAAAACTGATAACAGAAATTAGCTAATCTACATGCATATAACCTTCACCATCCTCCCTTTTTTTTTTTTTCTTTTTGGAGAGAAAGAGAAAGGGTTAGGCTATCTCCTGAATGTGCCCTGACCAGGGATCAAACCCCCAACCCTGGTGTATCAGGTGATGCTCTAACCAACTGAGCCATCTGGCCAGGGCACTGTCCTGCCTCTCAATGAGTTCAAAGCTAACAGTCCTACTCAACCATGCTATATTTGCAACTTTATATTTTCTGTTTCCAAAATAGTTGTGTGTGTGTGGAAAGTTTAAGTAGTAGGATTACTTAAAAATAATACTCAAAAATTGCCACAGTAAAAAATTTCCCTTGGGAACCAATATGTAACTAGTTTGTGTTAGCTAAAGAACTCATTTGTTCTTTTCTCTCTTTTTTTGTTCTTAATTCATTTCTTTCTAAGCACATATTGGATATCTTCTGAATATGTATGACATGTATTGGTATAAAAAATTATAAATCAGCTGTGAAATGTAGAGTCCTTGCTGACTTTGAAAGAAGCCAGCTGCCATGTTGTGAAAGGGCCTTTGGAGAAGGCACCATGCCTAGGCTCTGAATCCTGCCCTTTGCTGACAGCCAGCAAGGAAACAGAGACCCCTGTCCTACAAGCTGCAAGATGATAAATTCTGCCAACAACCTGATGGAGCTTGGAAGGCACTTATCAGCTTGTAGCAGAGGGGAGGGCACACCTGTTATCAGTACAGGGACTTCTTTTTTGCAGTTATGGGCCTGGAGTTGTGGGGTCTAGCCAGAGGTCTATCGGTTTAACCCTGAAGTTTTGACACAATTCATCAACACTCACTTTTATGCCTGTTCTTATTCAATATTGTACTGGAAGTACAAGAAAGATGACCCAATCAGAACAGAAAAGGAAATGAGAGATATTCAGGTGTGAAGGAAAAAGTAAACTTTCTTTGCTGGTGATATGACCAAATTTGTAAAAAATCCTAAAAGCTCTACTTCCCTCCCACACTGCACCCCCACCCCGCAAAAACAAACAAACAAACAAAACTAGAATAAGATCAGCAAGATTACAGGGCAGAAAGTCAATATAAAAATCAGTTTTATTTCTATATACTAAAATTTAAAAATGGGAAATAGAATTTAAAAAGCAATATCATTTGCAATAGCATTAAAGTCAGAAATTAGAGATAATGTTAACAATGTGTGAAAAACTAGGTCAGTGAAAATTACAAAACATTACTGAGAAATGAAAGACAATCACAGAAATGAAATCAATGGAGAGGCATACTGTGCTCATAGATCAAAAGACTACATGTTTATTAGAGTTCATCTCCCCAAATTTGCCGACATATTTTTTAAAATACTTTTTTTAATTTTTACTGATTTTAGAGAGCAGAAGAGGGAAAGAGAGAGAGAGAAACATCAACCCTGTTGTTCTACTTATTTACGCAGTCCCTGGTTGCTCCTCATATGTGCCCTGACCGGGGATTGAACCGGCAACCCTTTGGTTTGCAGGCCAGTGTTCAATCCACTGAGCCACACCAGCCAGGCCTAAAGGACTTTTTTGGGACACCCCAAAGTTAGTTAGAATAGTTGGAGAGGACCTCATGATAGTTAAGACTGAGATAAGCCCTAAAGTACAGATAAGATTTATTTAAGCAAAGGGGAGAAGAACAGTGTTAAACGAGTAAGAGAAGGGAGGTAAAATACACAATGCTTTGAGATAGAAACATATGTTCAGGAAATTGAAAGGATATAACAAATTTGGGATTAGTGGAAGATAAATTGAAAAGGATAGGTGGTCTTCAATTCCAATTTATGGAGTCAGTACTTTATTTTCTAAGTGTGAGAAAGCCAATGGCAATTTTGAGCAAGCAGTTAAGATTTATAACAGTGGTACTTGAGGATATTTAATTTGTGGGCACTGTGTAGAATGCATTCAGGGTGATCTAAGCAAGAATGAAAAAAACCTGAATAAAATACCGTGGGTCAAGATGGATATGTGAAATATTTTGAAGGGGGCTTTGTTACCCAAATAACTAAATAAGGAGGAATGAAAGAAAAAAAAGAAGATAATATTTGGATTTTAAACCTTTAATAGAAATAGGGAGTTGTTTCAGGAAAGAACCTTTGAGGAGAAAGAGACAATAAAGATTGATTTTGGTTATGTTTAGTTTGAAAGTATAATGAAAAATTCAAGAAGACTTTTTTTTTGTAGGGAGGCAGAGATAAGGGATTCATGTTTGAAATTGAGATTAAGATGTGCATATACTCAGCATAAGTAAATTGAAACATAAGCCAGAACCTGTTCACCAAGAGAAAAAGCACATACACCAAGAAGAGCTGAAGGCTTTTCAGTATCCACAATTAGGGTATTAGAAGAGGAAGACAGGCTAGCAAAGGAGAGAAGCAGCAGTCATCAATAGTTGGAAAATATTTCCTTCTAGGTGCTCATCTTTCTCTTGTTCTCTATGTGTAAACCTTTATTCTACCTTTCCAAGATACTTTGAGTATATATTTTTTGCCTTGTTCATACCTCATTACTGCCTCTTTAAATCAGCATGTCTAGATTCTCTGTGTATCTATCTTCACTATTTAATTATGTATATAATTATGTTAAAGCTTTTTTCAAAATTGTGACTAGTTCTGAATTAGATAGCAAGCAATTTTCAAGGCCCTGAGTCCAAAGTTATACCTAATTTTATTATTTTTCATTATTCTTTAAAATAAATTTATTTAATTTTTAAAAATTATTTTATTGTTCAAGTACAGTTGTCTGCATTTATCCCCCTCACGCCCCCCCACCCTACTCAAGCCATCCCCACCTCCCTCCCTTGCTTCTACCCTCCCCCTTGGTTTTGTCCATGTGCCCTTATTCCTTGTTCCTGAAAACCCTTCCTCCCCCTTGTCCCCTCCCACCTCCCCTCTGGTTACTGTCAGATTGATCTTAATTTCAATGTCTCTGGTTATATTTTGCAAAGCTATATTGAATTTAAACAGCTTGTCAGGAGAATAAATCTTCTAGTGCTTCTGATGGGATTTTAAGATACTCAATTGGAACCTGCCTCTAAAAATATGTACAACGTGCTGATTTAAGTTTACACTGAAGTGTGAGTTAATTCTGAATGTATTCTAATTTGGGGGGATGTGCAAGGAGAAACTGGAGGAAGAAAGTTCAAGAGAACTGGAGAGAGAAAACAAACTTTTAAATCATTGCTTATGAAAGATAATATATTTATGACATATTAAAACTATAAGGTTCAGCCTATGCTGAAGCTAAGGCTGATGGAATCAGTATGAAGGAGAAATTGATCTCTCTTGTAAGTACTAAGTAGTCTTCTAAAATAGCTGCCATTTCTGTAAAAACCTGTGTGTCTAAAGTACCTGAAGTCTAAGCATTCCTGTATTAGATAACAAAAAAAAATCTGATTTAAAAAATGTCTAAATGTGCCCTGGCTGGTGTGGTTCAGTGGGTTGAGTACTGGCCTGTGAACCCAAAGGTTGCCAGTTCAATTCCCAGTCAGGGCACAGGCCTGGGTTACAGGCCAGGTCCCTGGTTGGGGGTGTGTGAGAGACAGACGACTGATGTTTCTCTCACACATCGATGTTTCTCTCCCTCTCTCTTGCCCTTCCCCTCTCTCTAAAAGTAAATAAATACAAATCTTTAAAAAAATGTCTAAATGTACCTCTTAACTTTTTCAGAAGAAATGCGAAAACAAGGCTTATTGCAATGGCTTGATTCTCTTGAGACTCAGAACACCACCTCTCCAGACCTGCAGCTCACCGTGGGAGCAGTGATTGTGGAGGAAATGAGAGCAGCCATCGAGAGGCAGACTGGTTTTCAGTGTTCAGCTGGAATTTCACACAATAAGGTAAAGGCCAATGGTAGTTTTTGAAGAGAAACATAGATACCTATAGTTAAATACAGTAAGGCTACATTTAAGTGGGGCATTTAAATCATTATCTATATACTTTGCAGTGGGTTTCTATTTAAAATTTATGTCGAGGAAGAAGTAGAAGCCCTAAGTAATTTTTTCACATGGGAATCAACATTGAACATATACTTTCCTAAGAAGCAGGCTGAACAATTTGCAGAAAATGCTTATTTATATAGTTGTATCCAAAGCATTTCCTTAATGACTGAACTATCTAGGAAGGAGGAGGTTAGTCTTTGAATTTTAAATATGAATCTATTTGTTTTCTTTTCATTTGCTGAATATTCTAGTATTATTTCTTTTTAAAATATTTTATTTATTTATTTTTTTAGAGAGGGGAAAAGAGGGAGAAAAACATCAATGTGTGGTTGTCTCTCATGCACCCCCTATAGGGATCTGGCCTGAAACCCAGGCATATGCCCTGACTGGGAATCGAACCAGCATCCCTTTGACTTGTGGGCTGGCACTCAAGCCACTGAACCACACCAGCCAAGGCTAGTATTATCTCATTTCTTATGTGGAGTGGCCTAGGTGTTTTATAATTTGACTATTCCCCCTTTCCTAATGAAAGCAGTAAGACAAATGCAATAGTAAAATGTTACTGATTTGAACAGTATTTTGATTTATGGAATACAGACAATTGTCAATCCGGGGGCAGAATAAATGGTTTTCTTATTAAAGTGTAATGGTGTGGCTCAGTGGATTGAGTGCCAACATGTGAGCCAAAGGGTCACTGGTTCAAATCCCAGTCAGGGCACATGCCTGAGTTGTGGGCCAGGTCCCCAGTATGGGGTACATGAGAGGCAATCATACATTGATGTTTCTCTCCCTTTCTTTCTCCCTCCCTTCATCTCTCTAAAAATAAATAAATAAAATCTTTTTTAAGAAAAGTACAGTGAGGGTCTGTAATCTTCATCCCCCTGACTGGTCTCAATAATTGGGCAGAGACTGATTACTGGGTACTGCCTTTCTCCCCTCCCTCCAATAAGAGCAAAGTACCAAACTACTCAGCAGAGTTTGGGTGTTTTTTGTTTTTTCTTTCCTGGTTGGGTAGAGGGAAGGAAAACAAAAGTCCTAATGTAATAACTTAAACCAGACTAAATGTTGCCCAGAAGTTCCAGAGAATCTCTCCAATGAATTTAAGAATGATTTTATATTTTCCCCACCAATTTTAATTTGTGAAATGCTGCCACTGAAATATCTTATTCCTTGAAAAGAATTTTCAAGGATTTAATTTTTTTCATTTTGAAGTCTTGTTTATAGTATATTTGCTATTGGAGGGTGCTTTGGAGCCCAGTCTCACTCAGAGATACTAAATTATGGTAATGTGAATTAAATCCAGGACTCAAAATGGACTAACCAGTAATCAAGAAATATAGATAAATGGGTAAAACAAGTTTGTCTCAGCTTTTTCATATGGATATGGTAAGAAATGCTTCATAAGTTTCTTCTGCAGCTTCTCTGCCTTTTACCCTCTTGAAGTAGGAGAACCTTAGGATTACATGCAGGCGGAAGAGTGACTAAAGGAAAACCAGGAGCAGATGTAGAAAGAACAATGCAGACAATTGTGATTGTGGGTCATGTTTTCCAGTGAGGATGTTGTAGGAAACCAAGGTTCAGAGATGTTTTGAATTTCTGTTTTTGTTTTTGTTGTTAATGTGGACACCGCTAGTTATAGCCCTTAAGCTGTGTGTGTGTGTGTGTGTGTGTGTGTGTGTGTGTGTGTGTGTGTTAATATTCATCGATTCTCCGTGCGGGTGTTGACAGCAATGAGATTTTTATACTTTCCGTACTCCAGGTCCTGGCAAAACTGGGTTGTGGACTAAATAAGCCCAACCGCCAGACGCTGGTCTCACACAGGTCGGTCCCACAGCTCTTCAGCAACGTGCCTATTAACAAAATGTGAGTATTTGGGAAGCCTCTTAACTTTCACTCAGACACGTATGAAGGCACTCTCTGGTTGTCCTTTCTTTTGTTCCTTATGAAGGATTGGAGCCAGGCAAAATTGGTACCAGGAAAGGTGGGAAGGAGAGAACACAGGAAATTTTGAAAAACACAGAATTTTTCTTTTCTTTTGCCATTTACATTTTTATTGTGGAAAACACATGTAACGTACAATTTACCATTTTAACCACTTGTAGCCGCACTGTTTAGTCACATTAGGTACATTCACATGGCTGTGCAGACATCAGCACTGTCCATCCACAGAAGTCTCTTCATCTTCCCATAGGAGACCGTACACCCGTTCAACTCGAACTCCCCAGTAGCCCCTTCCCTCCGCCATGCACAACCACCACTCCACTTTGTTTTTATGAATTTGACTTCACAGCTACCTCATGTAGGTGGAATCATACAGTATTTTCCTTTTGTTTTTTAAAGTGTATTTTGTAGAATTTTTCTTTTTAAATTTTTTAAAGATTTTATTTATTTATTTTTAGAGAGGAAAGGGAGAGAGAGAGAGAGAGAAACATCAATGTGTGGTTGCTGGGGGCCATGGCCTGCAACCTAGGCATGTGCCCTGACTGGGAATCGAACCTGCGATGCCTGGTTTGCAGCCCGCGCTCAATCCACTGAGCTACGCCAACCAGGGCCAGAATTTTTCTTAATGAAACTTCAATTCTAGATTATCTGTGGAAAATTTAGTACTGAATTTTTTCAAATGAACGATTTTTAGGTGTATGTTTAACTTCCCTCTGGACTTTTTATTCAAGTCTGTTAATAATAAAAATAGGAGTTTTACCTTTTCTAATATCATATAAAGATGCTCAGGACTACTGAGTTGCTCCCAAACAAGGCATGAAAGAAGCCAAATAAAATGAATAACTAGTTGTGCCTACCAGTTGCTGTGTGTCCTTGTCAAGGGCTCATAATACCACTGAGGAGACAAGACACAACAGTTCAAAGCAACAGTAAAAGTCATATCACAAGACTGTATGTAATTGCTAAATGAATTGTACAGGTAGTTACCAAAGTTCATAGAAGAGAAGCGTAATCTGAGGAGGATTTATGAAAGAGGCATGGGATTTGTTTTGAGATTTGGCAAATTTGGAGAGTCAGATGAGATAGAAGAACAATAGCAATTTGGACAGTGTTTTGGACACAGAGAGAAAAAGTATGAGGTATTTCAGTGAACTGGGACGTAAACTAGTTTAGCTGGATCATACTGAGGAAGAGAAGTGATAGAAATAGTACTGAAAAGATTGGTTGAAGTCAGATTATAGGAAGCCTCGAAGGCCAGGCTGAAGATTCTTCATTCTTAAATGTAAAAGGTTTTAGCTATAGAAGAGATGTGTAGAGGGTTGGAATTTTAATCCCTAAATGGAACAGATTTTGTACAATTGAAAGTTTTATATACAGTTGGCTTAACGATAATTAATGACTTCAACTTTTTGTTTTTGCTATTATTAATCTCCTTCCCAGGTCCTAACCCTCAGAATATCTGAATTCCCAGAACCCGTTTGTCTTACAGTACCATATTAATAGTCTTCAGGACCAACATGTGCTCTCATTTTCCTTGAACCTTCTGGAGATCTACTTAACACAAGCAAAATATCTTATACATGCTGCAAACTAGATATTTGGGATATGAACTAAATTCCTTGTCTTTTTTGTTAGCCGTAATCTCGGAGGAAAGCTGGGAGCTTCTGTCATTGAAATCCTGGGGATAGAGTACATGGGTGAACTGACCCAGTTCACTGAATCCCAGCTCCAGAGTCATTTTGGGGAGAAGAATGGGTAAGTGATTCCTAATACTTTTCAATCATAACCTTTATAGAAATACTAAATTCCAATATAGACTAAAACATTTAGTAAAATCTAGGCCTATTTTTGGGTTAGCATTTATTCAAGGTAATTTTATTGCTCCTTTTACTTTAAAATATTATAAGTACCTTGGCTGGTATGGCTCAGTGGATTGAGTGCTGGCCTGCAAACTGAAAGGTCCCTGGTTCAATTCCCGGTCACGGCACATGCCTGGGTTGTGGGTCAGGTCCCCAGCTGGGGCCATGAGAGAGGCAACCAATAGAGATGTTTCTCTTACACATTGATGTCTCTCTCCCTCCTTCTCTTTCCCTTCCCCTCTGAATATAAATAAATAAAATAAAAAAACCCCCAAAATATTAGATAACCATGGCCTGTCAGTCTAGAGTAGTTTTTTCATGTATTTTAATAGGTTGATTGGCACTGTTACTTCTTTTTCTATTGGTTTTCTAGAGAGACAGACAGACAGAGGGAAATACTGATTTGCTGTTCCTCTTATTTATGCATTCATTGGTTGATTCTTGTACATGCCCTCACAACCCACAATCTTGGCTTACTGGGATGATGCTCTAACCAACTGACTGGCTACTGGCCAGGGCCAAGGAACTGTTACTTTGAAGCTTGAGTATATGAGGTCTGTCCAGAAAAAGACCAGCCATTGTTAATATAACAAGAATGGTTTATGTGACATCGATGTAACATGGCAGCCAAGGAGAGTGGACTGGAATGCACATGTGTGAACAAAGACAACTTCACTGTACTATTCCATGGGGGCAGTAGATGCTGTTGAGCATGTATACTGTGTGGCCATTGCATTCAAAATGACTGAGCAAGTAGAGCAACGAATCTGCAACATATTTTGTGTTAAGCTTGAACATTCCTTCTCGGAAACTGTTCAGGTGATTCAGAAGGCTGCAACTCTGGGTAATTGGCGATGCGCAGCTTTATCACAACAATGCTCCTGCTCAGGCATCAGGTCTTATACAGAGTTTTTTTGAGAAACATCAGATCACCCAGGTGACTCAGTCCCCCTAACGCCCAGACTTGGCACCCTGTGATATCTGGCTTTTCCCAAAACTCACCTTTTTTTTTATTTTTTTTTATTATTTTATTTATTTATTTATTTATTTTTAGGGAGGGAAGGGAGGGAGTGGGAGAGAGAGAGAGAGAGAGAGAGAGAGAGATATCAATGTGCGGTTGCTGGGGGTTATGGCCTGCAACCCAGGAATGTACCCTGGCTGGGAATCGAACCTGGGACACTTTGGTTCCCAGCCCGCGCTCAATCCACTGAGCTACGCCAGCCAGGGCTGCCAAAACTCACCTTTGAAAGGGAAGAGATTTCAGAACATTGATGAGATTCAGGAAAATATGACAGGGCAGCTGATGGCAATTAGGAGAACTGTGTGAGGTTCTAAGGTGCCTCCTTTGAAGGGAACTGAGGCGCCATTGCCCTATGTACAGTGTTTCTTGTATTTTGTATCTTCTTCAATAAGTGTCTCTATTTTTCATAGTACATGGTTGGATACCTTCTGGATAGATCTCATATATAAGTACATCATTTATGTATGCTGATATTTCCTTAAAATCCTGTATTTAGGCTTAGCACCAAAAAACTTGGGGATATTAATCAGTGGCTTGCTTGGCACCTTTAAAAAATACAAATAATGACTTGGCTTTAGAAAGTGTAACCAGCTTTCCTCTCCTTGGTAATCAACATATTACATTGGGAAGGACAGGGGTTCTGTCAGAAGTGAGGTATACTTAATTTTGGACAAACTTTTTCAAGAAGGGGATGAAAGGGTAATATACACATATTTTGTTTAAACAAGAATAATCATTAGCTTTCACCTTAAAGAGTTTTGCTGGTTTTATTAGATCTTGGCTATATGCCATGTGCCGTGGAATTGAACATGATCCAGTTAGACCCAGGCAAATTCCCAAAACCATTGGCTGCAGCAAGAACTTCCCAGGAAAAACGGCTCTGGCTACCCGGGAACAGGTAGGCAGGCACTCTTGACAGAACATTGCCTCTTCTAAGGGGGTTTAGTGGGTAGGTTTTGGTAACTGCAGAAGGTTTAATTAGATGGAATTAATGTTAGATTGAATCTTTATGCTGTAAAGTATGAAGAGGATAGAAGTTCTTTTTTGTGTGTTGAAAATTGACTAATTTTAATTGGATTTATTATTTTTCCTTTTTTCTACCTAAAAAGAAATAAAATGGAAATGATAGAATTTGAAATGGAATTGCTCATTTTTTGGTAATTGAAAACTTGGAAGGTCTAGGATATTGTGCCTCAAGTTTGTGTCATTTTTTTTCTTCCTCAGAGCTGGAACATGCCTGAAATTAACCTGATGGCATGCCAGCAGGGAAACAAAATGAAAATTTTGAGCAGGTCAGAGTACTGAAAATTTCTATGATCTGTTGATCCTTTGGTTTTGGGGAAAACTTTATTGCACACTTCCATTTGTGAGAGGGCTTAACAAATCCACTGTTTAGTTCTAAAATAAACCTGTGATTTTTAAGTGAAAGGTTAAAGTCTCAATACTTTTTCTTTAGGTACAATGGTGGCTTTTGCAATTAGCCCAGGAATTAGAGGAGAGACTAACGAAGGACCGAAATGATGTAAGATTTTTTTTTATTCCAAGGGTGAGATTTGGGATTTAAATACCAGTTTAAATGTCTTACCTTATAGAGTAGAAAAAAAAGATACAAAAAAAATCAGCTAAAAAATATTAAGAAATCTTTTTTCTGCCGTAAAACTCAACATGATCTTCAAAAGCCTGCTTCTCCGAACATAGACTATTCCTTCATTGCCATTTATCTCTACCTTTTTGTATACTTTTTTATCTAACTACTCCTGCAGCCATGAATATACAGTGGATCTTTATGAGAGTAAAGAGCCATTAAACAGGACATTTAGGGAGGGATTAGACTATAAATTACTGGACTTAAACCTAGTGCATGTGACCCTGGCTGGTATGGCTCAGTGGATTGAGCATAAGCCTGTGAATTCCTGGTCAGGGCACATGCCTGGATGGTGGGCCAGGTCCCCACTTGGGGGTATGCAAGAGGCAACCAGTCAATGTTTCTCTCATACATCTCTCCTCTTTCTCCCTCTTTCCCCTCTCTCTAAAAATTAATTTTTAAAAACCTATGCAAGTAAAACATAGTCTGTGTGACAAAGAAGTACTGATAGTTTTAGAGACAGAGTGTTAAGTGAGAGACTTGACATCTGAAAATTCATTTCTTTATCCACTCTTCAAAAACAACCCCTTTTTTACTGATGTATATTTTTTAAAGTTTTTTTATTTACTTATTTTTAGAGAGAGGGGAAAGGAAGGAGAGGGAGAGAAACATCAATGTGTGGTTGCCTCTTGTGTGCCCCATTGCTGGGGACCTGGCCTGCAACCCAGGCATGTGCCCTGACTGGGAATCGAACCAGTGACCCTTTGGTTTGCAGGCTAGCACTCAATCCACTGAGCCACACCAGCCAGGGTTTACTGATGTGTGTGTGTGTGTGTGTGTGTGTGTGTGTGTGTGTATGTGTATATATATTTTTTACATACCATAAAATTCACTTGTTTAAAAAAATTCAGATTTACAGTATACAGTTCAGTAGTTTTAGTATTTTTGTTGTTCAACTATTCCACAATTTAAGAACATTTTCATCATCCAAAAAGAAATCCTGTACCTATAGCAGTTACTCCCCCATGTCTAGGCAATTACTAAGTCTCCTTTCTGTCTCTATAGAAGTGTTCTGGACAGTTCATATAAATGGAATAATACAGTATGTAGCCTTTTATGGTGGCTTGACATCTTTAAGTCAACATAATATTTTTAGGTTTACCCACATTGTAGCATATATGAGAACTTTATTCCTTTATATAACTGAATAATATTCTATTATATAAATATTTCTACATTTTGTTTACCCATTCATCAGTGAATGGGTATTTGAGTTGTTTCCACTTTTCAGCTATTATAATGTTGCTATGAATGTTCATTTACAGATTTTTGTGTAGACATATGGTTTTCATTTCTCTTGCTCCTGTATCCCTAGGAGTGGAATTACTGGGTCACATGGTCACTTTCTGTTTAGCATTTTGAGGCTGTTACTACATTATTTTACATTCCCAGCAATGTGAGAGGGTTCTAATTTCTTTATACTTTTGTTATTACCTTTTTTAAAATTTTAGCCCTATTAGTGGGAGTGATAAAGTTTGTGGTTTTCAGGTGCTTATTGTCCACATTCTTTCTTATCCTTTAGGGAGAAATGTCTATGGCGATCCTTTACTCAGTTTTGAAATGGGTTGTCTCTTTATTGTGTTTTAAGGGTTCTTTATATATTCTGGGTACAAATCACTTGTCAGATATATACTTTGCAATTTTTTTCTCCCATTTTGTGGGGGTTTTGTTTTCTTTGTTTTCTTGATGGTATCGTTTGATGTGTCCTTCCTTTTTGGAACGTCTGGGAGTCCTACACATCAACTATATACTGGCAGGTATCATCCAAAACTACCTGTATGTGCTCCCTTTTCGCCGAATTGGTGGTGATTATTTGTTCTTTGGTAAATAACAGAGAGAAGGGTATGATCCCAGTTGTGTTGTGGGCCTATTTGAGGGCGACCAGTAGGTGTCGCCCTGTTTTCATCTCTATAAGCCTCTGAGACTTCCCTTGCTGTTATCAAGTGCAACGCAGCAGGGATGCCTAAGAAAGTTCATGTCTTTTAAGCTTAAAAGAACTTTATGCCAAAAATAATTCTAGACATAGAATATCATATCATTTTACTTCAAAATATTCTACTGGCTTTCCTTCACACTTAACTAATGTGTGGATTTCTTTTATTCTATAATGACCAGTATGATTTGGTCTCTGGCTTCTTCTCTGATCTTATTTCCTATCCTCTTTCCCTTAATCCTCTTTAGCTTCCACTCCACTGGTCTCTTTCCCTTTTACTTGACACACCAACAAAACTCTCACCTTAACACTTGTGTACTTGCTGTTTCTTCAGCCTGGAGAATCTTTGCTCTTATATTCTTATTTACTCAGCTCTGGGTTCAAATATAAGAGGGTAGCTGGGGAAAGTAGAGGCCTCCAGCATTCTGCCTTACTCTGCTTTTTTCCATAGCACTTTGTAGTCATTTCTATTACATGTCTACTTGTTTATTAACTGTAGCTCCTACTACAAGATCCCTTAGGGCCTGGACTTTATTTTGTTCTATCCTATATCTCTAGATAGGGCCTGATTATGTAGTAGGCATTCACTTATGCTTGAATGGTTTTAGTGAACAAGGACTCCTTTGTAATTGCCAATTTGTATTCTCTTAAGATATGCAAATCCATAGGTATTTGCAAAATGTACAAAAATATAAATTTTATTTTTACTCCCCAAAATACTGGTTTGGCTGTATTTGCCTAGGGGTATTTCTTCTCACTAATATCTTTTGATTTTGAGGGGATCCCAATAATAGAATTTTTAATCTTCTTCTATTCCACCTCTCAATCTTTGTTTCTTAGTTTGCTTTGCATCAAGAGTATTCAGATGCCCTGGCTGGTGTAGCTCAGTGGATTGAGCGTGGGCCTGCAAACCAAGGCGTCACAGTTCAATTCCCAGTCAGGGCATATGCCTGGGTTGCAGGCCAGGCCCCCAGCCGGGGAGGTGCATGAGAGGTAACCACACATTGATATTTCTCTCCCTCTCTCTCCTTCCATTCCCCTCTCTCTAAAAATAAATAAACTCTTGAAAAAATTAAAAAGTATTCAGATACTTTGATTCACTGAAAGGTGAACTGATGATCTTGCTTCTAGAGGCAGGCTTACTACACTGTATCTTCTAGTGATAGGCTGTGAACAGGTGATGCCAGTGAAACCTTCCACTGTTATTAAACGTAAGAGCATCAGGGCAGCTTAAAGAATAGATCCACTACTCAGTCTTGATATCCTAGCTTGGCACTTCCAGACAATTACTTATATGAGCTCTTCTTTAAGTCACAAAATAGAATATAGGACTGTAGGTATTTGTTATAATCTTCCTGCATAGACATTATAGAAAAGCATTCAGAAGAGTCCATTTTCATTTATTCTGTCCTCTTCCCATCACCTATGAAAATTTCCTAGATATTCTAATAATGTATCATCTAAATTAATCTTCTCCAATTTCTTCTATTAAAAAATAGCACAATTTTAAAAATTTTTAAATTAAACTTGACTATTTCCAAATCATTCTGTCACCCTAGTTCTTTTAATGTCCTCTTGAAACAGAACCACTCTATGTTCTATTCCTCTGGGTTCTGTTGCCCACTGCTGATAAAACTGTGACTCCCAATGCCAGAGTCTTATGAAAAGGAAAGGAACTATTTATTCAAAAGTTATACAGGTTTAGAAAATGGCAGAATTCTACTATTAAATCCCACTCCCTTTAGAAACAAAAAACACCCATAATCACTCAGTCCTGCCTCCTCTTGCCAAACCAGGTCAGTCAGGGGTACCTGATTGACTCAGGAAAATAGAAGTCTGTAGCTTAGCTGGGCAGATTCCTGTCTGTATTCCGGTTATTTCCAGTCATCCAAGCTTGGCTAGACTCCTGCTCTTAATTCAAAACAGTATATCCCCTCCTCACTGTGGGCCAGTGGGGTTCCTTCTGCATCTTTTCAAACCACATGGCCAAGAAAGCCTTCTCTGCTCCCAAGCTGCATGGTTAAGACACCATGGCTGCCCTGCATTTAGTATAAATCTTGGCTCTGATCTACCTCCATAACCCCATTTCCGACTCCTCCCACAAAAGGTTACACCTTCTAGTCCTTTGGTTTTTTCTGCCTTTCTCTACTTCCACTGTTAGTCTGGGCAGTCTTGCCCCTGTGATGTGAGAATCACCTCTGGTAACCTACCTCCTGCCTGGTCTCCCTGGCTGTTAGCATTACTAACACACTGGCAAAGTTATTTAGATATGAAAAGGAACTCTCAGTGGCCCTGCTCTGATTCCCCTTCCCCCAAGCCAGGCTAGTGGAGGATTTGGGGATCTCTAGCTCAGCACCCCATTACACTCTCATGTAATTGAGTATATAGAATCCAGATGCTCATGGTAACTTTAGTTCTGTTTTCTATCCTTTTATACCCACAGAATGACAGGGTAGCCACGCAGCTGGCCGTGAGCATTCGTGTACAAGGAGACAAACGTCTCAGCACTCTGCGCCGCTGCTGTGCCCTTACCCGCTATGATGCTCACAAGATGAGTCATGATGCGTTTGCTGTCATCAGGAACTGTAATACTTCAGGAACACAAACCGAATGGTGAGTTTCTTTCTAGCTCATTTTCTCAGAAGAGACATATATCCTGTCTTGCTCTAAAATTGCTCTATATAAGCTTTCCAGCTGGGATAGGTTCTTTGTGACTCTGGCCAGCAGGACCTATTACAGAGGGGAAGGGCCATGCACAAAAGAGAGGGCACAGTAGAAACAAGAGAAAAAAGGCAGACTGGCTGCAACTTCTTTGACTATGTTTAGTGCAATCCAGTTCTTAGGGGTAGGTTTGAGATTCAAAGTGAACCAGTACCATCCTGCCCTGGCCAGGTGACTCAGTTGGTTAGAGTGTTGTCCTGATATACCAAGGTTGCAGGTTCGTTCCCCAGTCAGGGCACATACAGGAAACAACTAATGAATATATAAATAAGTGGAACAACAAATCGATATCTCTCTCCCTCTCTCTCTCAATAATTTTTTTTAAATTAAAAGAAGAAAATACTATCCTTATATGTATCAATTTGCAATAGTCTGGGGAATGGCCATTTGCACTTGGGAGTACAGAATTCAAGTTTCAAGAATATAGCACACTTGGGAACTTCTTTCTCAACTTCTTCATTTTTCTGTCTTCCTTGATAATGAAACTGACCCATATTCATTGGTAATCTCTAACACCCCAACTCAGTTACAAGCTCCACTAGTATAATACCCAATGTCATATTATAGTAAACTTCAGTTGGTCATGAAAAATAACCAAATACATGATTGGAGTGTGTTCATTTATTGTCCAGATATTATTTTCAATGTTGGAATCCTTTAACTATTTAACATAGCCTGTTACATTAAAAAAAAGTACTCCAAATTCACAATGGAAATATAATTATGTGAGGAAAATGAATTGGTTATTTATAGATCTATATTGAAGATTATAAGAAATAAGTTTAGTTTATCTAAGTTATTGATTATCTAAATATATGGGCCAACACTATTATATGTACAAAGACTGTTATATAGTCTTTGTTTTTAGAATAATTAACTTTTGCCCTGGCTGGCGTAGCTCAGTGGATTGAGCACGGGCTGGGAACCAAAGTGTCCCAGGTTTGATTCCCAGCCAGGGTACATTCCTGGGTTGCAGGCCATAACCCCCAGCAACCGCACATTGATGTTTCTCTCTCTCTCTCTCCCCCCCTTCCCTCCCTAAAATAAATAAATAAAATCTTAAAAAAAAAAAGAAATGAAAATAATTTTAAAAAAATTAACTTTTCCTCTCTGGTATATTTGCTTTCAAAAATTGAATATCTTTACTGAATAAAATGATAATGGTGATACTGTGTTCATATGAAACCTTAAAAAATTGACAGACTATAATATTATTCACCAAGAGCTTGAAACCTATTGATAAGGAAGCATCAGAATTACCTGATTGTGAGATTGTCCCCAAGCATGAAGCTGGAGGACAGTGAGATACTGTTGTAATAATTTAAAAATAGCATTTACTCTTTACATCTTCGAGGGACTAATCTGTATGTAAAAGCACATTGCATCTTCTGAAATTCAATTCATGTGAAAATTTACTTGAGTAATTAGACACAATGAGGAACTTCATGGCAGAAATCTGTATGTAAAAGCACATTGCATCTTCTGAAATTCAACTCATGTGAAAATTTACTTAAGTAATTAGACACAATGAGGAACTTCATGGCAGAAATTTCTTGAAATGTTTCTGTGACTAGGTGAGGTAACCAAAAGCCATTGTGGAATTTCATTTTCCAGAAACTCTGGAGCTGAAAGCCCGTCAGCGTTAGGGTTAGGTGTTGCCCTCTTAAAAACAGCAGAATGGGTGAGAGGCTATTTTCAGGAGTCTGTCTAGTCTAAATATTCTAAAAGTTTTTTTGTTGCCCAGAGTAAAATTTTTTGCCCTAACCCTGAATTATAGCAGCTCTGAAGCAGTATCTTACGAAAATGATGATACCTAGTTGCCAGGGAATCCCACTCACACTCATGCAACTTGGTTTACCAAGTCGGCGATTGTCAAGGAGTGGTCCTAAATCAGCAATATCAACATTACCTAGGAACTTGGTGGAAAGGCACATTCTCTGCCCATCTCAGATTTACTGAACCTCTATTAATCTGATACACCCTAAAGTTTGTGAGTCAATGCGGTAATGATTTCCTGCTGTGGCAGAACCAGAATCCCAGTTATTTTTTATCATTCAAATCTGTGACCTGGTGCTAATCTTGTTCTTGTACTTTCCATACAGGTCCCCTCCCCTCACAATGGTTTTCCTCTGTGCTACCAAATTCTCTGCCACTGCCCCTTCGTCTTGCACAGACATCACCGTCTTCTTGAGTAACGACTCAGGTTCTCTGCCAAAGGTGCCAGTTGCCAGTCCAGAAACTAAGACCCAGGGAAGTGGCCCATCGGTGACAGCCACTAAGAAAGCAGCCACTTCTCTGGAATCATTTTTCCAAAAAGCTTCAGAAAAGCAGAAAGTCAAAGATGCTTCACTTTCATCCCTTACTGCCACTTCCCAGGCCCTCAAGAGCAATTCACCACTGAAGCTCTCCTTACCTTTCCAAACCAGCCGTACTACAGGAATCGGGCCCTTCTTTAAGCAGAAAAGTTTGCTTCTGAAGCAGAAACAGCTTAATGATCCTTCTGTTGTCATTCCTCCACAGAATCTGCAGTCTAGCCCTAAAAAGTTATCAAAATATTTTCCAGCAAAGTATCCAGATTCTGCCCCCGTCTGTGAAGGGGTTTTGAAGCTCGAATCCTTTAAAGCAACTCCTGCAGAGATGGATTTGGCCCGAAACAGCCGGAGCAGGTTTGCCTCTTTAACCTCCCAGTCTGCTCCAGAGGGGGCTCAGAAGGCAGCTACCACCCCACGCCTGCTGGCTACTGAGGACCAAGTGCCCTGTGAGAAGTGTGGCTCTCTGGTACCTGTGTGGGAGATGCCGGAACATAAGGACTATCATTTTGCACTAGAGTTGCAGAAATCCTTTTTCCAGCCCCACAGTTCACACCCCCAGGTTGTTCCTGCCAGTTCTCCTCAAGGCAAAAGAAATCCCAAGAGCCCTCTGGCCTCTGGTAATAAACGCCCCAGGCCTGAGGGCATGCAGACCTTGGAATCATTTTTTAAGCCATTAACACCCTAAGTGCTGTCTTCAGGCTTGCTGCAATGTTTTAATATTTTATCTATAACCTGGGAAATGGAAATATGTTTACTTTTTAAGGAAATTCATAACTATAAAAATTTTATAAGAAAAATAATTCAGTTAAATGCTGAGTGTAGGCTATCTCTTCATGGGCATGGATTCTAATTTCATTGCAAATAGAAATGTAAAAATTTGTCTTCCAGAGATACAACTGCTTTGCATTTTTAATCATGAAGTGTTTAGGGAGGCAGTGTCATGTAGTCAAAAATGTGTGGGCCTTGGAGCCTTGGAGATCTGGTTCCAGACCTGACACTGCCTCCTGTATTGTAGTATATGGCCTGGAGCTAGTCACTTTCCTCACTCTTCCTCATCTTTGAGATGAGCAGAATTGAGATAATGCCTTACAGATTACTGAAGATTAAGAATAATTTCTTAAAATACTATAGCACAGAAGGAACTGAGTAAAAAAGTTTTTGTTCCCCCTTCCTCTGTGTTGGGTTACTCAGTAGATACTGAACTTCATACAAGCAAACTGTGTGGACAGCCAGTTTTAGCCATTGGCCCTTCTGCCTCTTGCATCTTGTTCTATGTACGAGATTGTTACTGGACGACTGCAGGAACCCTGCTTAGACTGGGTAGTCATGACCAGAACTAGATTACCTCCAGAACCCTGCTGCTCGTGTGATGCTGAGCAGCAGCAGCAGCACCAGGGAACTTGTTAAAATTGTCTCAGCTTCACCTCCACCCCAGCTGAATCAGAATCTGTATATTAATAAGATTCCTCAGGGTGTATCTTAAAGTTTCAGAAATACTGATCTAGAAAATACTAACAGCTGGCCAGGTTTGTAGAGAGCATTTTGTTAAACCCTAAACTACAAATTTAAAGGGTAAGTACTTGGGCCTTTGGGGTCAGTGGTGTGCTCACCTCTTCCCTATTTAAGTGACCATTTAGGTTTTCCCTGTTTAGTGACCATAGCTTAGGGTTTTAAATTGCTGTAGCTTTTTGCACTTATCTGCATTTATTGTGCTGTATTTTTCGTCTCTGCTCTTATATGTGGAAAGTTAGCCTTTTTTTTTTTTTTGTCTTTTCTGATATGGAGGACCTTGAATAAAACTGAAGATGAACCACATTACATGGTAGTGAGGTAGTGCAGAAGTAGGGACAAGGGTGCACATATTTCCCCTCAGATACATCTATAAAAACCAACTGCTTTTTAAGCTTATTTATAAACTCGGGGGTCTGTTTTTAGTTTGAAGGAGGGAAACAATTGAAAACCACCAGGTCTAACAGGAAATTTCTTGCTCCAAAAATATTTAAATGTCTAATAAAAGACAATATTTACTCTATACATGGTCCTTTCCCTACTAGGTCTGTAGTTTCTTGGAGGCAAGAATTCTACACAGTGCCCTGCACATAATAGATGCTTAATATTCATTGGATGAAAATATATAATGAAAAAAATTGTAGATGGTTACTGGAACTAGCAAAATAAAAATATACATGCTACTGGCAGACAGGGGCAGGAGGCTGTCTTATATATCCTTTTATCCTCCTAAATGGTCCCTTGACCTGAAGTAGCTCACTGGAGTTCCTGGAGATGTGTCATTAAGTACTGATATGATTTTCCAAAATTTCCCTTCTTAACCCAGGAAGAGTTTTTAGAAAATTTTTAAAATAAAAAATGCATTTTTGTTCTTTGATGGGTGATTGTGTGCAGGTTTCATATTTCAAATTCACTTAAACCTAAGAAAAATTGTTTTAATTCAGTGGTGTGTAAGAATGAATTATGCCAGGATGTCATCATCCCACATCTGTTGTCATTGACAGCAGCCAGAAGTCCAACTGGGGTCCTGCTGGGAGCTTATTGATAGGAGCTTGTGGAGAATCACAATGGGAAGAGGGTATTTTGACTATAAATACTGAGTTTATGAGGATTATTTGAGAGTTTTGGTTTGGATGAGGTGCCTCTTCACTAACCTACAAACTCTCTGAAGACCTTTGAGACATTTGCTCCTACTTGTGGGCAGTGGTGTTAAACCCCCGCAGAACCTCATAAATGATGCTATTCGTGGCCCCTCGGTCCTCCTGCTGACACTCCTGTCCTGGCTGCCTAGCAATGTGCTCTAGCAACAGGGAACTTTTACTTTTGTGCTGGCAGCTGGACATCAGCTCTTCGGTGGCTCTGCTGCCAACTTTCTGGAGTGCCTCCTGGTATAAAAAGGTACACTTTGTATTAAGTTTGGACTTGACTCCTTTGCCTCCCCTTGATTGGAACAATAGTGTGATTAATCTGTTATTTGTTTGGTGTATGTTACTTTACTTGGCTTATTAAGAGAAATATTGTGCCCTGGCTGATGTGGCTCAGTGGATTGAATGCTGGCCTGCGAATCAAAAGGTTGCCAGTTCAATTCCCAGCCAGGGCACAAGCCTAGGTTTCAGGCCAGGTCTCCAGTTGGGGGTGTGTGAGGCAACCTGTCGATGTTTCTGTCACACATTGATGTTTCTCTCCCTCTTTCTCCCTCCCTACCCCTTTCTCTAAAAATAAATAAAACCTTTAAAAAAAGAAGATACTGTATTCTACTCACTGGCTTATGAAATTATAATTCCTACAGTGAACCTGTGCTAAATAAATTGCTGGCAAAGACAGAAATCAGTCTCTGAGCATAATTTTGCTGCCTACCCAAAACAAACAAAAAACATATAGTTTTTACTGAATATAACCTTTCCTCATTGCTCAGCAATTGTACAGAAGGAAATAAACCCACAGGAGGAAGTTCTTCAACCATAGGCTTCTTACCAAGTTAAACCAGTGATATTTTTAAAAGCAGCTGAGCTTGAGAGGTAGGGAAAACTATCACTTTAATACCCTGGAGGCAAAATGTTGGGGGACCTTGGGCCATGTTTGTCATTAAATTTCTTTTGAAAAGTTCAGTACTCAAAATGCAGTCCCTGCTTTTTGTAGTTGACTTTAACATCGGGCCCTATTTCTCTACCCATAAATGATGATAATCAGGTACTCTGAACAGACACAGGAAGAAGGGACTAAGGGTTGGCTAGGTGGCGTTCATAACTCCAAGAAGCCAGTTTAGTACATTAACCTCACTTCAGGCTATTTTGCATTGCTAGAAAAAACCTTAATTACCATGTGTCTAAATTCTATTCCTCACTAAGTAGCTGGCATACTAATCTCCAAATCTCTGACACAGTGGTGGGCCTCCTAACCACTGCAACCATTAGCAAGTGGCCAATTCCTCAAGTATGGGGTGGCTACCTATCTCAGCTAAAAAGGTGGCAGTTTTGCTTTCTGTTTTGTTCACTCAAAGAACTATGCAAAACAGGCAGGCCTGAATGCTTGATCACAGTACTGGAACACTGATCACATGGGAGAGAGGAAAGGAACAGCAAACGAGATATTAGATGTGTTCTCTTCTCACTCAGGGCTCAGCGGTGTTAGCATTTCACTTATCTCTAGTCCTGAACAGGAATCTAGCTCTGGAAGCCAAACCTATCTCTGAAGCATAAGCACAGTGTGTTCAATAAAACATTTTTATTCTGTACAATATATATGTATATTTAAATATATATGTGTATGTACATATATATATATATATATATGCAGAGAAATCTCAATCGATAAATCCCTGAGTCCATGGGAACCCAGGACACTAACAAAGGGAAAGGAAGGAGTCCATGTCCTGAAGAGCAGGAAACATGGCACCATCCTTCCCTTTTCTCCCAGTTCCCAGCAACAGAGGGAAGGGATAGTCACTGCAAATTGCTAAAACAAGAGAGGACTCGTGTAGGAGTGGGAAGCAGGGCAAGGGTGGCAGGAATGGGGGCTGCGGGTCAGTCTGGGGAGGTAAAACATACTGTTCGATCAGCATTAAAACCAACAGATCACTGCAGAGGAGGGGACAAAACTGACATGTGGCCGACCTTCGGTAGGTACGCCAAGCCTTAGCTCAGCAGCCCCAGGCCTGGGCCAGCACAACAAATAGCACCTGTGCGCTTATGCAAGGAGAAGCTGGGGAAATGGCCCTTGAGTGAGGAAGGGAAGGGACATAAAGCAGAGGAATAGGCGGCACGTCTCAGTACAGAATGGGAACATTGCCATTCACTGTCCCTGTGCCTTTTCTTCAGACCCTGGGCCACCAGATGGCCAGGAGCAGATGTCTTCTGTCCATAGTCAGGTAGAGATGGTAACTTACATGGTCTTCAGAAGAGGTATAGAAAAGAAATGCTTTTGAGGACCACCCTTAGTTGTTGTGACAATTCTTGAAATGCAGGGACAACACCGGTGAATCATGCCCAGTTCTGACAGTGGGGCCAACGTGACAACGGTCAGCTCCCTCTAGTAGACAGGCCATGGGGTTTCCAGGGTTGATGAGCCAACCAGGTGGACACACGGCTGCTGAGCACTGCCCTGAATTCTCCTGTCGTCTCCCTCAGGGTTGCCCCTCCCTGGCCACACCAAGCTTGGCACCTCTCCAGAACGGTGGCAGGGAGCACCCCTCTCTCCCTAGCCTATTAACACACAGAGCCGCCAACAGGGGGCAGCATGGCCAGTCACCTTGTATATTGTAGGGACAGCAATGGAGCTGTGCCTGCCTGGAGGAGTTCAGAAGCCGTTGGCCTGGGCTTCTCCTGCTGCAATGGCTTGCACGTCAGTGACATGGCCGATGCCCTTCGTGACACCCTCCCGGAACAGCAGCTTGGCGCCCACCTTCAGGTACTCTGGGTGTTTCAGGAAGCGGAAACGTACCACTGCCTTCTCCCCTGTCCGCAGCTTGTCCTGCAGCAGATATGCAGTCACTGGCCCTGGGCAGAGCCTCCCGCCCCATTCTCTACCAGCCTCGGCTCTCCACCCCTGGGGGCCTATCAGGCTTCTACCCACCCTAAGTGGGTCTCTGTCCCTTTTGTAGGATCAGGGACTTCTCTATGAGTCTGGGGGAAGGCCTTTCTGGAGGCAGAATTTTGACTTTTCCCTGGAAAAACAGGCATGGCCGGGTCCCTCTCACCTTGGCGTGGATCTTTTCCACCACCGCCGTTTGACGGACATTGCCCACGTGTACTGTCACCTGGAAGCCTCGACGGAATGTGGTGGCATGGAACAGTAGGACTATTTCTGCCTCGAACACTGAGCAGATGGTGGGATTCATCTCGGGGCTCACCATCACCATGCCCTGGGGAAGCACAGCCCCAGTTCTTGCGTTAGTCTCTCTCACCCTTAGAGCTCCTCAGGTTCCTCTTCCTCTAGGACTTCAGCCACAGGAACTCAGATGACAACATTCAAAACTCTTCTCTTAGAGGGAACCCCTCCTTACCCACCTCCCAGGTCCTCTAATCCTTCTAACGGCTTGTATTTCTAGGGTCCTGGACACTGGGCTTATACCCCAGTGATTCATATTTAGTGATCTGTCCTTTATAGGCACGCTAAGCCTTTTCAAACACGGACAGCCTGTGAAAGCAGTTTCTTGGGATAGAGGCCATGTTTCCTTTGAGTTCCCCTTAGCCAGGTGCTTCTCTTTGTGTTCCTCTGCAACCCTCCCTCCACCTCACCTTGCGAAGGAGCGCACGGTCAAAGTCCCCGAGGGCCAGCGTAGCAGCCTGCCCAGCTCGCAGCACACGGCAGGCAGAGCGGTTGCGCTGGATGCTGCATACTCTCAGCTCCAGGAAGCAGCCATCGTCCGTGGGGCCCACCACCAGCTGGTCGCCCTCGCGGCAAATCCCACTGCAGCCCAGGGGGCGGATGGCACAGCGTCAGCCTGGGCTCCCTTACTTACTTCTCTGCTAGGGTCACCCAGAGCGTTCCTTCCCTTCTAAGGTGAGTCCCTCAGGAGGGGGAGCAAGACCCTAAATTCTGACTTGGAGATAGGGGAGACGCCTGCTTTGCCCCAGTTCAGAGTTCAGATTCTGAAGAGTAATATCAGGAAGGGCAGCGACGGCTGGCCAAGAGTACCTGCTGGTTTGATACTGAATACCTGATCCCTGAAAGAGCGACATTCCCTTGAGCCTCTGCTTTGGAAAGAGTCTTAAGGGACCTCTCATCTCCCTACTTGAAGGTGAAGTCAGCTGAATATACTCTAGTTATCTTCCTGGGGCCCGGGACCCACACTTCTCCATCAGGGGCCTGGAGGTTCCCAGTAAAGCAACAATACTGTTTCTTCCCTCATGAGCCAACAGACTAGCTTTCTCCAGTTCTTCTGATGGTGAAAGGCTAGTCTGCAGACAAGCACATCTGTCAGCTGGGCTCTGTTCGACTCCAGGGTCTGCTCTGGGCCACGTCTTCGAGTGTATGGGTATGTGAGGGCTGAGTGGGGTGGGTAGCAAGCAAGGGAGTTCACCTGGAAAGTGTCCCTCCAACAACTGTCCCCACTTCTGGTACTGTATAGATTTCATCCACCTGAAGCCAAAGAAAATTCTATCAATGGCCTGGCAAGTCATGCTGCCAGGTCCAAACTCTCTAAGCAGACTCAGCCTCGGCCAGAATTAGTCCCTCCTATCTCCCCAGCTCACTGCCTGTCTGGACAGACAATCACCTGAAACTCGGTCAGCTGCTGCATGAGTTCCTCCTGCTCTTTGCTGTTGGTGAGAGGTGGCAGGATATTCAAAAAGACTTTGAGCAGGTCCAGACTCTCTCCAGACACACTGGACAGAGTGAAGATAGGGGTGACACTGTAGAGGGAGGCATGGAATAGACGGATGAGGCAAGTTCTAACAGGAAGCAGAGGCTACAGCCCCATACATGGAAAGGTGAGCTTTTCTCAGGGTGGCTAGGGGCCCCTCTCCTGATGATCTTTGCAAGAGCTGTGGGACTTCTCTCTTTGTGAGCCAGCCGAGGACCCATCCTAGAGTCCAAGGGAGTTGGCAAATTCCTCACATAGCATTTCATCTTCAGGGTCCCATGCATCACCCAAATTCCAAGCTGGCTTGGGGGAGGGGCCAAACCTTTTAGAAAAGCCCAACCTGCAAAACCACAGAACTGAGCCAGAACTGGTTTGGTCCTGAGGTGGAACACCACGCTCGGGGGCCCTATGGCAGCGTTCCCTGTGGACCAGGGTTCTGTAGTGAGAAAGACTTACTTGGGTGACTGGGCAAACTGCTGGGCAGCAGTGACGGCATCATCCTCAGAGGTGACCAACATGGGTACTTTGTGGCAGCCAGGCTGCTTGAGGACTCGCTCTAGCTGGCGTACCGTCCTCTCCACTGTGGTCTTGGCACACAAGTCCACCTTGCTGACCACGATGAAGAAGGGCACTTTCAGGGCCAGGGCCAGCCCCAGATGCTCCCTTGTTGTGCCAGCTGCCTCAGAGAAGGAAGGCAGGCATCAGGAGGGACCGTGGGAGGGAGAAGAGGGAAAAGAGGAGAGTTCATCTGGCTCCCAGGTTTGAGGAGGTTCGGCGCAGGAGAGTCAGAACCCGCCTCCAGCCCCACCCCTGCCCCCATGCTTCGTACCAATCCCAGTGTTAGCACTGACGAGGAGCAGGGCGCAGTCAGGGCAGTAAGAGGTGAGGCCGAAGATGGTGGTGTGTAGGTACTTGTGGTGGCCAGCCAGGTCGATGAAGGTGATCATCTTGGAGCTGCTTTCACAGATCTCTTCTGCCGTCCGTGAGTCACTGTAATTCACCACCTGGCCCAGAGCCCAGGGCTCTCAGTGTCCCCTGCCAGCCTCCCCAACCCTTTAAGAGTTGCCAGGACCTAAACCAGTCCCTGGGTGACCCTGACTCTTAACCCTGAGTCCCATTTCTGATTTAATTCCACTGATTTCCCATTTGTTTTCTAAGGAGGACAGAGCTTGTTCACTGCCCTAAGGGCCTTCATCCACTCTCCAAAAAGTCTCTACACTCTGCCCTTGGACTCTGTCCCTCACCACTGCCATCCCATCCTCACAGTCTGCCCCCACTGGGTCCCGCTGATTGCATGCACCTCTCCCTTGCTGTTAAAGCCCAGGATCTCGAAGCTGATGCTGGAGGTTCGGCCAGACTGAATCTCGTGCAGGTGGCGGAAAAGGTTGAGCCGAGCCCGGCCCCGCCCATTGTCCAGCTCTCCTTGGGTCAGGACTCCAAGCAGAGTTGACTTCCCCGAGTCCACATTTCCCAGGACAGCCACACGAAGGTCCAGAAACTGTGGATGAATTGTCAGAGGTAAGGGCTCCTATCCCTTATCTCCCTCCACTGAAGGTTGGGTCAAGGGCAGTGCTGCTCCCTGGGGACCAAATGGTAAACTGGGTACCCCTGTCTCACAGGCCAGGAGGGAGCTGCCACCACAGGGCCCCCCCTCTCAGGGAGCACGGGTGTGAAAGGCAGGGAAGGGTATGTGCTCACCTGTTGGTTGTCAGGGACCTTTCGTACCAGCACCTCAGTGATCTTCCGGGGCACGTCGCTATCATAATCTACTTCTCGCTCCCGGAGAACAGTGATGTCTGCTCCAACCCTATCACAACAAGGCCACAGCTTCTGCATCTCACCTGTACTCCCCCACCTCCAACCTTCCACCCAGGCTCTGGATCAGTGGCTTTCCCGCATGTCCCAAAGAGCTCCCAACACCTTCTTCCTCCCCTACCATGCTGCAATCTATCCCACATCCACAGCTTCCTCTAAACAAACAAACAAACAAACAAACAAACAAACAAACAAACAAATCTTAAGTCAAGGAGCCAAAAAGCCTAGGTCCAAATGTGGAGAAGCCCAGATGACTAGCCCTGCCCACTGTCTTGAGAAGGCAGCAGAAGTAAAGTCCCTTCTTGGCCCCTAGGCCCTAGGTGACTGGGTACATGAGGGTCCTCCCCAGAGTTAGGGAGAAGAGAACTGAGGGGGAAGGGAAGCATACTTCTCTGCCATCCGGTGCAAGGTCTTGAGGGAAGCCCGCATCTCCTCCTCAGCCAGCCCCACCAGCAGCCCATTGTCCTCCACCCCAATCTGGTAGACTGCCTCACCACGGCCCTCCTGGAGTCTCCACTTCATCTGTGTCACCAGGTGCTCAAAGCGGTACTGGGATGGATTCACCAGCTTCAGCTTAGGGCAAGTGAGGTATCAGGAGAAGGTGAAGTCAGAGATGCTCCTCCTGAACCCATATCTCACCACCTATCCTGCTGCAAGGACCAGGACCTTCCCTTCCCACTTAAACCTCCTCATACCTGACACCCTCTAACAAAGCTCTTACCCTGAACCACATCCCTACATTACTATAGATCACGAAGTTGAAAAGATCTCAGAGAAATTGTCATCTGCTAACAAGGACAACCTGCTCCTCCCCACCCTGAGACTCACTTTATATTCGATGTTTCCATCTTCAGCCTAAAAAGAAACAGGTAGCAGTTACCAAACACAGTCCTCATTCCCCATTTCCTACTTCCCCATTTCCTGCTGGGGCTCAGGCAGCAGCTCACTTGAGAGAGCAGGAAGGCTCAGTGGCACCTGCCTAGGCATGTGCCTGCCAAAGGTCACCGGCACACAAACCCTCTACTAAGCCCCAATGTGACCTCTCTCAAGGAAAGGCCTCTAAGAACACAGTCACCCATCTAAGCCAGGAGTGGGACCTTGAGTCCCTCTTTTCTTTGATCACTGGCAGTATGCTCTTCCTAGATTCGAGACCACCCCTTCCTTCTCCTCAGGCCCTTAAACTGCCGTCCCCAGAAATCTATGTCTCCTCTGTCTGGGCTGCTGAGGCCACTCTTTGCCACTGCTCTGGGAGACACCACTTCCTTCCTGCCCACCCCTCTCAGCTGATGTAACCAAGAGTAGGAGGATGCAAGAGGTTCTGGACCAGGGCCAAAGGGTTAACTCAGCAATGGTCACTGCAAACCTAGTGAGAGAGGAGCCCAGGTGAGACAGGGGCAGAGCTTCAAAGTTGGGATTGAGATAAAGAGAAGTAACTCAGAAAATATAATTAAGGGGACAGACTCATTGTGGCTTTTATCTCCTATCCCCTAACCCTTGCCTCTCGGTTGAGGTGAAATCCTGAGTCCACCCCACAATCTCCTCTACTTCTTCCCTATTTTAAATAGATTTTTAAATTTTTTTTACGATTTTATTTATTTATTTTTAAAGAGGGGAAGGGACGGGGAAAGAAAGGGAGAGAAGTATTAATGTGTGGTTGCCTCTCACGTGCCCCCCACTGGGGAACTGGCCCACAACCCAGACACGCGCCCTGACCCCGGGCATGTGGGAATCGAACTGGCGGCCCTTTGGTTCACAGCCTGCACTCAATCCACTGAGCTATTCCAGCCAGGGCTTTCCTACTTCTTCCCTATTTTAGATGACCCAAAACAGAAGTATTCTTTGCCTGAGCCTTCCCCTCTCAGATGCAAAAAGATATGAGATTTGCTTGTTCTGCCTCTCCTTCGTTTCTGCATTCCTCCTCCCTGGCCATTTTCCTTTTTCCCTTCCTGTCATCATTTCACCCCTTGAAGGCCCTCTGACTACAAACTCTAACAGGTCTTCACTAATAATCTCTACCTCGTTTTGATGGAGATGACTTCAGAAAAGTGGTACAAGGAAAATTCAAAGTGCTGGTCCTAGGACCAGCAGCATTAGCATCACCCTTCGGTTTACTTGTAATAAATGCAGATTATCAGGCCGACCTCTGACCTACTGTATCAGAAATTCTAGGGGTGGGGCAGCAATCCAGGGGATTCTGACGTATACTAAAGTTTGATACCACTGGTTTAGGCTCTTCCTCTGGGTCCACCTTTCCTAAGATGGGCAAAGTAGCAGTTATTCTCTGCCTTAGGGAATAGTGAAGTAGGTATATGGAGGCTGTCCCCACTTCCTGACTATCTGACTGTTCTCTGGATGTGTGTGTTGTGTGTATGTGTACTCAGGGATAGGTAAAGAACGTACTGCTCTTTTCCTGGGTACTCCCCTCCTCCCCATGGAACAAGTTTAGAAAACTCTGCTTCCTCATCCCAGAATATAGTCTACCTTCCCTTCCTGCAACTCAGGGATAGAGCCTGTGCATTCCACTGTTCTTCCCAAGGGGGTGAGAGTGAGATCTCCTTTTCCCATTTTTCCTACCAGCGTTTTGTTATCAGAATGGGAGGATCCTCCTCCCCACTCTTCTTTCCTGGGGTCCTGACCCTTGAGAAGAGGGCCAGTCTCTCTATTCCTCCTTCCTGGGGGTCCTGGGACCGGAAGGGGGTATCAATTCTCTTGGTCCCGCCTTTCTGGAGTCCCGGGACGGGAAAGTGGTTTTCTCTCAACCCGCCACATCTCAGGTGCTCACCTCGGGAGGCAGATACGGGGGGTTGTTGGCTTTGCTCCCTCTGTTTCTTCCGTTCTTCTTCTTCCCCTTCGGGCCCCCGCAGCCGCTGCTGCCCCCGGCCCCCCTAGCCTTGAGGGTTCCGCCCATGGCCGGGCCCCCTCCGGGCCGGCAGCAGCCGCCGAACAGCTCCGATACCCGCGAGTCCATCCGCTGCTGCCGCCAGCCCCCCGCCCAACCCCTCCCCCCCGTCACTGCCACCGCCGCCGCCCCTACTGCCACCACCGCGTCCGGCCAGCTAGTGTAGAGCGGGGTGGGGCTCCGCTCAGACCACGCCCCCACCCTTCTCCGGCTCCCGGCGCGTCAGAAACAGCCGCAGTGCACCACGGGATATAGAGTCCTCAAAGCTCAGATCTCTGTCAAAAGAGGTCGCCGCCGCCCTACAACTCACAGGAACCATCGCGGCGCACCGGGGCGCGGGTGGCTTTGGGGCGCAGAAGAGGAGCGCGCCTTTGTGCGCAAAGGTCTAAGGGACCTGTAGTCTGGTTCCCAATTTCTGCGCTCTGAACGGGTCCTTTTCTAAGGCTTTGGGGTGGGAGGTCACCGGAGAGCTTACTTCCGAGTCAAGCTTTAAGGGCGCTCTTGGGTGGGGCCCCTTAGCCCAATCCCAGACAACAGGTTTTGGACGTGGAGAGGTGCAAATTCAGGGCGACTGGTCCCTCCAGCCTGCGGGCTCCTCCCTTGCCTCAGTTTCTTCCCCGATGGTCCGCATGCCGTGGGGGTGAGTCAGGGCGAATGCCAGGGCGGAGGCGGATGATGGTTAGCCTAATTATGGCTGTTATTGTTACTATGATTTTGTCACCTTTACACAGCAGTCACTGCTTTATTACTGCTGACACCCTCCGGGGGTTGGTTTTGGTAGCCCAAGATACCGCGGTAGCCCCGACACGAGGCCCGAAACCATAAACCAGCTTTGCTCGCTGAGGGCTACAGGGATGCCCGCAGCGAGTACTTCCCCTCCTTTTTGTTTTGAAGCAGAACCAATCGGGGAGAACCGAGTTTGGTTTTAAAACAGCAAGTGCTATAGGAGGGGCCTTGCCACTATTTGGGGCGGGGCTGGGGCTGGGGCTTGGGTTACGTCAACCACTAGGAGGTCGTGGAAGTGTCGGGGAATAGAAACTTGGCCAAGGGCCCCAGAGGATTGCTGACTTTTGAATTTCTTGCCAAGCCATCCGTCTTGCTCTTTAGGGCTCTGGCAGTCAGCAAAGAGTAAACACATTTAGCGACATAAACCAGTGTACAAGACACTAGAAAGGCAGAGTGGAGAAGCAGTTAGTGTTGCCCCGTAGGGAGTCAGGACGCCAGGGTTCAATTCCCAGCCCATGGCGATCTCATGACTCACTATTCATTGTATGTCCACCTCCCCTCTCTTCACAAACAGCGAGATGCTCACACACAGCCAAGAGATAAAGCAGCCTATCCCTCCAGACCTCAGTTTTCCTTGGAAAATTAAAAGCGATAACAGTGGCTTACCTCTGGTGAACCTTTTAGGGATTCAGATCTGGTAGAGTCCATGGCTTCCCCCCTAGGACGACAAGGAAAGTAGCAGTTTACTAATCATAGAGTTGCTGGCCACATGGCATCACTTCCCAAAACTAAAACCATGGGGACAGAAGGATCAAAATCTGCACAAGACCTAGCAGGCCCAGCCAATTATGTGGTCTTCAGTGATTGAAAGCACATCTGACTTCTCTCTTCTCAACCCCCTTCAGCTAAAGGAAGGTAATGCTGCAGAGGTCAACCCTAGCCAGGGAGGGGCACAACCCCACCACGAAAACTGCTAGTTAGAGGCCGAGACCAAAGCACTCAATGATTGGTCTCAAGAAGGGTGGGGATTGGGAGAGAGAGCTAAGACCATCCCAACTCTCTCACTACCAGCAGCTCTGGGCTCTTGTGATAAGCAGGGCCTGCTGCACTTTCCTGATAAAACTTGTTCTCTCATCTTCCTGGCTCTTTCGACTACCCCCAACACAGTTTCACTTTATTCATCCCAATCCTGTTGTCTCCTAAGAGGAGAACTTTTAAAAAAAATTTTCTTGAATTTCTTAAAAAAAATTTTTTTTTAGATTTTATTTATTTTTTCTTGAGAGGGGAGGGAGGGAGAAAGAGAGAGAGAGAGAAACATCAATGTGCGGTTGCTGGGGACCGTGGCCTGCAACCCAGGCATGTGTCCTGACTGGGAATTGAACCTGCGAAGCTTTGGTTTGCAGCCCAAGCACAATCCACTGAGCTACACCAGCCAGGGCGAGGAGAACTTTTTTTAAAAAATAAACTTTCTAAAAAGATTTCATTTACTTTTAGAGAGAGGGGAAGGAAGAGAGGAGAGAAACATCAATGTGTGATTGCCTCTCATGTGAGCCTCTCACTGGGGATCTGGCCCATAACCCAGGCCGGTGCCCTGACTGGGAATTGAACTGGTGACCCTTTGGTTCATAGGCTGGTGCTTAATAGGCTGAGCCACACCAGCCAGGGCTAAGTGGAGAACTTTTGAGAGATGGGAGGGAATAACTCATTTCAATACTCCATTCTTGAACAACTTGGTTTACCACAAACAAGAGTGAAGCCTGGCAGAGAGGTAGGCTAAACAAGGATGTTTGTCTAGGAGGAGATCAGAGTCCTGGGAGATGGCAGGTGGTTTAGTTTCCTGGAGGAGCTGCTTATGAATCAGTGGTTGACTGTCAGGTATATATTTGTATATACCATAGCTGTGTGTGTGTGTGTGTGTGTATACACACACATACAGATATTTTTCTGGTATATAGCTAGTTATTTATGTGTGTATAGTACTTTTACATAAGATTTTATTTGGAATTTATCTTTATATAGATAAATCTTTATCTTTGTATGTATATTTATCTTTATCTTTATGTGGATGTGTGGTGGGAACTAATTTGATTTTTTCCCCTTCTAATTGGATAGGGAGTTGTCTCAAGTTATTTGCTTTGAAAAGTCATCCTTATCATATACTAAGATTTACCTATACATGGCTCTGCTTCTGGGCTCTCTTCTGTTTTAGGATTTGTTTATTCCTGAGTGAATACCACAGTATTTTAATCATTGTACTTTTATAGTAGGTTTTGATCTCTAGTTCCTGCTTCCTGAAACACACCCTTTTCCTGGCCTCTATGACTTGCTACTTATCTATTTTAAAAAATATTTTATTTGTTTATTTTAAGAGGGAAAGGGAAAGAGAAAGAGAGGGAAAGAAACATCAATGTGTGGTTGCCTCTCATGTGCCCCCTACTGGGGACCTGGCCTGCAACCCCCAGGCATGTGCCCTGAATCAAACCAGTGACCCTTTGGTTTGCAGGCCAGCAGTCAGTCCACTGAGTCACACCAGCCAGGGCTTATCTATTTCCCTTGATACTTCTCTGGCAACTCCTCAGTGTCATTTAGAGCTTCTTCCTTCTCTGTTCATCCCCTAAACGTTAGTGTCTTTGGGATCCTAGCTCATCCTTATTCTATATACTCTCTGGGTGATCTAATTAAATCTCATGCTGATGATGCTCAAATACTTATCTCTATTCCTGACGATGTTCCTAAATATTTGCCCAATTAAATGGCAAACTTGACCTATCAAAAACTGAACTTACCTCTTCTCCTTACCCACATCTCAATAAATCTTCATCGAATAGCACAACTGACCACAGAGATGCTGGAGTGAAAATCCTGCTTGTCTTCTTGGAAGCCTGTCTCTAGCTCTCCTTTTCCTCCTGGGATCAATCACCGAGTAATGCTCCTTGGACCTCCTAAATATCCGTAGGGTTCACCCAGTTCTCTCCACCCCACTGTGACTACTCTAGTTCAGGCCTCTTTCACCATGCAGTTGGGTAATTGAAGTTGCTAGATCTAACAGGTATTCCTGCCTCCTCTCTTATATCCTACTTGTAATCTAATCTCTGCACTGCAGCCAGTGTAGAGATTAAATTTATAAAATGTAAATTTAATCATGCTACTCTCCTACTTAAACCTTTCAAAGCAGCTTCTCCATCCCTCACAGGATCAAGTTAAAACTCTTTAACATGGCTTATAAAGCTTTGTCATGACCTGGCTCCTGTTTGTCCACCACAGCCTTAACTCTTTTTTTTTTTTTAAGAATTTATTTATTTATCCTTAGAGATAAAGGGAAGGAGAAAGAGAGGAAGAAAAACATCAGTGTGTGGCTGCCTCTTGTGCACCTCCAACTGGGGACCTGGCCTGCAATCCAGGCATGTGCCCTGACTAGGAATTGAACTGGTGACCCTTTGGTTTGCAGGCTGGTGCTCCATCCACTAAGCCACACCAGCCAGGACAGCCTTAACTCTTTATAACCTGAATTCTTTTCATTCCTTGAATAGAGCATGTGCTAGTCTCTAACGTTCTCCAGGACCGCTAGGTCCCCCTCTTTACCTTTACCCATCCTACAGGTCAGTGTCTTAGGTACATTTCCTCTGGACTACGCCTTCCTCCCACCCTGTCTAGGGTAGGTACCAGTGTTCTTCACGTTCACAGCCCGTGTAACCCACTGTATAATTCATCGTGTCGTATTGTATCTATAGGCAGTGATCCCCTTGAGGACAGCGTCTGCCTCGGGCTTATTTGTCACAGTGTCCAGCACCTAGGACAGGGGCTGGGACCATGTAGGTGTCCAATGAATAGTGAACACTGGAGAGAGAGTACGAGTGAGGGCGGGTGTCCTTTGGAAGGCAGCGCTCAGTGGCTGAGAATGTGCCGGTGTCCTTGTGGGGGAAGCTTTCCGTACGGGTGCTAGCGGGTTAGGGAGTGAGCGCAAGGCTCAAATCCCGCTCCAGCCCAGCCTGCACTTCACCAGGGAGGCACCACGTCCCCTTCCGGCCCTACCGTGCAGACTTCCCATGATGCTCCGCGTAGCGCCTATTCAAAGCGCCGGGAGAAGAGGGAGGAGGTCGTAATGGCAGCCCCGGAGCCGGAAGTAGTGTTCCCGGCCGCCGTCTCTGGTGAGGCATGGGGTCCGGGTCTCGGGATACTTGGGCGACCGGTTTATTCCCTACCGCCATTCCCTACCATCATTTATAACCTGGCCCTTTCTCTAGCCAGTCTTCCTTTGTCCTCATTTCTCGGCGTCCCTCCCGCCCCTGGCTCGGCCAGGCCAGAGTGACTGTCGCCTCACGGCCCTGGATCACAGTGGTTCGCCCCGACTCTGCCTTCATTTCCGCGGTGTTCTATAGCCCGCTTGCCTATGCTTTCAACTCTGATCAGGGCCTTCACTTTCTGAGAGTAGCATCAGTCCCCTGCCTCAGAAATTCTGCCCCCCAACCCCGACCCCTGTCCCCTGTTTCTCACCATCGGCCAACACTAAAGTCACTTTAGGCGACTGGGGTCAGGAATCTCCCTGCCTCCGCCCACACAGAAGTTTGTGGAGGGAATGTGTGCGTGTCCGGGTTAGGGTGGCTGATAGGGAATGAGAAGACTGTTTTGGCCTTTGAGTTTTTAATTTTTCTCTCTCGTCCCTCTGTGCGCCCACCAGATTTGGAGTGGTATGAGGAGTCGGAGGAAACCCACGCCCCCCAGATAGAACTACTTGAGACTACCTCTGCCCAAGAACCTCCCAACCCTTCGGAGTCATTTTGCCCCCGAGACTGCCTGGTGCCAGTGGTGTTTCCCGGGCCTGTTAGCCAGGAAGGCTGCTGTCGATTTACTTGTGAACTCCTAAAGCATGTCATGTACCAACGCCAGCAACTCCCCCTGCCCTATGAACAGCTTAAGCACTTCTACTGCAAACCTCCTTCCCAGGTAGGCACAGGCTTTGGGAGACGTTGGTGGTGAGACTTTGTGGCTATTAGATGGTAGTCAGGGAAAAAGGAAGTCTAAGGAATCTCCGGGGCTCCTCAGCCTAAGCAGCCCTAAGGAGTATGTTTCATCCCACCACTTCAGTCACTTTCTCCACACTCTAATCTTTCTTTGACAGTCTAACCCTCACCACCTTATCTCTTGTTTTCTTTTTCTGAAACTCCTATTGTGTTGTGTTTGGACTTCATGAATTGACCTTTTAATTTTAATGTCTTCTCTCTCCAAATTTTTATCTCTTTGTTTTTATGTTCTGCTTTCTGAGGAACTTATTTGACTTTATATTCCAACACTTCTATGATTTTTTTTTTCTTTTTTGGCAGTCATAGTCTTAAGGCTCTTAATTTTTGCATGTAGCATCCTGTTGTTTCAATTCTATATGAACTTCTCTTGCCTGTGGATATTAATTATTGTATATTTGGGGTTTTCCTCTGTTTCTTTTATTTTCTTTTTTTTTCTCCTTCTTTTTTCTTAGAGAGAAGGGAAGGGAAGGAGAAAGAGGGAGAGAAACATGGGATTGGTTGCCTCTGGCAGGCCTCCAACTGGGGACCTGGCCCATAACCCAGGCATGTGCCCTGACCAGGAATCCCCCTGGTGGCGACCTTTTGGTTTGCAGGTCAGCACTCAACCCACCAAGCCAAACCAACCAGGGCTTCTCTGTTTCTTGCAGTGTCTGAGTTTCTTCCAGAGTCTTTTTCTTATTTGTTTTGGACTCTGACTTTCATGTGAGAGGCTTTTAGTGTCGGTCTGGTAAATATTTAAGAATAAGCCATAGAAAGCTCTGTGCGCATGGCTGATAGACCAAGGATATTGGGTGAGAACCTATTGGTCTCTTTGGAGGACTCCCAAAACACCAATAATTGAAAGTCTTCTCTCTCTTTAGATGGAAGAGATTGGCAGGTGACCCAAGGGTCCTCATGTTTTCACTCAATCCCCACACATTCACTCTTGCCTTTTGCAGTGCCTACGTCAGCAATTCCTGTGTCTGGGGTTTTGCTGTGTGAATCAGTTTGCTTCTCATGGGAGTTCCTCTGTCAGCATTTGAACTCTTCTATCTGCTTTCTGTCCTCCAAAAATTTGTTGTTGCCTTTGGCTACTGTTGTCTGTTCTCTAGGTCTCTTTGCCCTTGGGCATCCTCCTTCCCTTTCTCACTCCCTCCCTTCATCCCTCCTCTCTCCATTCTCTTTTCCCTTCTTTTTCCTTTCATTTAGTAGTATTTCATTCAGATGGAAGCACAAATAAGCATGTGTTCAATTTGCCATGTTTAATTGGAAGACCAACTCCAGAATTACCTTTATTAAACCAAATAATCCTTGTTCCTGTTATCACTCCTAGAACAACAAAAATTTGCCACATACTATGCCATCAAATCTCCTTGACTGCTTTAGTTACTTATTTCTGGATGCCCTCCTACTTCAAAACACTATCTTTGCTGTTCTAAGAGTGGGACAGTTTGGTTTTGTACAAAGAATGTATTTTCCTTTTTGATATATTGCCCTCTGATAAAACCCAGTGTCTTGGCTGTAGCAGTTCATTGAGCTGGAAATCCAGTCCCATAGTCTACTATATCCCAAACAACAGGGTTCTTCAAAGGTCATTAACTTTCCCCTCCCTTGCTTTCTTTCTCACCATACATTGTCTTCATAGGTAGAGGACTTGGTGAAGAAGAAACCTTGGACCACCGCTGAGACAAACAGCAGGAAATGCCAACAGACCCTAGCAGAACTGGAGAGTGTCCTCAGCCACCTAGAGGGTCTCTTTGCCCGGACGCTAGTGCCGCGAGTGCTGATCCTCCTTGGGGGCAGTGTTCTAAATCCAAAGGAATTCTATGAGCTTGACTTGTCCCGCTTGGCCCCCAACAGCATGGACCAGAGCCTGAGCACAGCAGCTTGTTTGCGCCGTATCTTCCGAGCCATTTTTATGGCTGATGCCTTCAGTGAGCTGCAGGCTCCTCCACTCATGGGCACCATTGTCATGGCACAGGGGCACCGCGACTGTGGCGAAGATTGGTTTCGACCCAGGCTAAACTACAGAGTGCCCATACGGGGCCACAAACTGACTGTGACCCTCTCCTGTGGCAGACCCTCCATCCCAGTAACGGCCTGGGAAGATTACATTTGGTTCCAGGCACCAGTGACATTGAAAGGCTTTCACGAGTGAATGGGGATTCTTCTTAATCATGAATACAATGGCTAAGTTATCTTCCCTTCTGTGGCACCAAGTCACCCATATCTTGCTTGGAAGTAGAGTTGCTTCCTGATGAGAGGAAGGTTCTGTCCTGGCTTCCTGCTTCCCTTCCACGGACTTCCTGGTGGGCTGATGGTGTGACTGGGACTGTAATAATCATCACTGAACAACATCTCTTTGAATCAAAGGTTGATTTCCCAGAGGGTGCTGGGACAGACTTTTCTGTCTGGGGTTGGAAAACAAGTGTGGGCCCATAGACACAATTATGGAGGTGTCCCTTTTTATGTGGCTTTTCAGAATTTTTACCAGGAACATAATGTGGGTATGACTCATGAACTTAAATATAAAATGAATGAATTCATATTAAATTTTCCTGAAGCTCTTGGCTTCTTGAGGCTAGAGTATTTTGTCTTTCTCCTTGGTCTCTTTATTTTTTACTTTTTACTAGTGGCCTTTTCTCTTTATCTGCCCTAGGCTAGTGTGGGAAGTTAAGTGACTTGGCCAAGGTTCTATACTGGTTTGATGTCAGCTGGGACTCTTCATCAGCTAATTCCTAGCCTGATGTTCTTTTCTTTCACAAACATCAATGGATGGTTGCCTCTCATGCGCCCCACACTGGGGATCTGGCTCACAACCCAAGCATGTGCCCTAGACTGGCAATCAAACCAGTGACCCTTTGGTTTGTAGGCTGGAGCTCAATCCACTAAGCCACACCAGCCATGGCTATGCTCTCTTTTTAGCACTTCACATGCACTTCATCTAATCTAACAACCTTGCAAAGTTTGTGTCATTTTGATTGGGGAGTCACTTGCCTGAGAGTGGAAAACTGGATTCAGACCCAGTCTACCTAGCACTAGAGGCTGGTGCTTTACACTGCTGTGCGTCCTGTGTGGTTTTACTGTGAAATAATAGGATTTGCCTTACCAAAGGTGGTTGTGTTGGAAGGCTGCAGGACCCTCCTCTCTGGCTTCATATTGTGTTTCCCCACATGGACCTGACATTAATAGGTATTATAAATACAGAATCAATGAGAACAAAAGGTTTGAGTTCTTTTCTGTGCTGTGATCACTTGAAGCATATTCCACCAGCTAGAATTTTGGCTGTTTCTCTGCTTGGTGATACTACCTTACAGAAGAGGAATAGGGCTGTATCTCCCACTTGGGAAGGGTCATGCTGAGTGAGGGGTCTGACTAAAGGGAGGGAGGGTTTGGAATAGGGAGTTATAAATTGTTTTGAGATGGAAGACACATTAAAACATGTCAGCTCCCTCAAATACTGATTTTTAAAAGCCTTCAAAAACAATATTTAGCCCTGGCTAGTGTGGTTCAGTGGATTGAGTGCCAGACTGTGAAGCAAAGGGTTGCCAGTTCGATTCCCAGTCAGGGCACATGCCTGGGTTGCAGGCCAGGTCCCCAGTGGGGGTTGCGTGAGAGGCAACCACACATTGATGTTTCACTCCCTCTTTTTCTCCCTTTCCGTCTCAAAAATAAGTAAAATCTTTTAAACAATTAAAAAAAACTATATTTAGACAACCAAAACAAAGTAATTACCTGGGTAATTTAGACACTTATTTCTCTATTGGTTTTGCATTGGGGCCCAAGTAATTTTGATTTCATGAGCCCTTTCCAAAGGAATCCAAAAATTAAAAGATCAGTTAATACTAATGATAAATTCTACCTCCTTCCCTGACAACAAGCTTGCTAAGGCACCTGTCTATGTTTGACCTTGGCTGGGGACTCCAGAGGCGGATGTGAAGTAGCCAGTCTTTAGCCCATGGAGTGAAGAGCCCCAGTTCCAGTGGGGCTCTGCCCTTTCATATGTTGCTACCACTTGGGCCTAAAAGCTACAGTTGTGGGACCCAGGTAGGTAAATAGGTGGCAGTTGAGGGGAAAGTGTAGTCTGTAAATGTCACCCTTTTTGTATCCCTCTTCACACCCCCTTTTTCCAAGGTGAACCTATGCCCTGCCCCATTGCCTTGGTCTCCATTTGCCTTTCAGGTGGGATAGTACTATGGAAGAGGTAAAGAGTCATCTGAAGATCGAAGAGAATGGAATGGATGAACCATTACATAAGACCTGTATTTGGTGGGGATTGATTTAGATGCCTAGGCTTAGCCTCAAGAGTATCTTAAATTGTTTTCTTCACAGGTAATTCTGAGGCCAAGAAGGGACATGACTGAGGTGAATTAAGACAGCTATTGTCACTGTGGTGGTGTCTTTCCAAGCCCCGATTTTATATACAGTAAGGACTCAATGTAGAGTATGTGGAAGGACTCAGGAAAGACAAAGATATCTCCAGAATTGGTCTGGGTTGGCAGTTCCAACCTCACACTGTAGACTACCCTATCTTTTTTACGGGAAACCATGCTGATGTCGTGACAACTGAACACATCCTGTCACCAGCTTGGGAAAGAAAGGGAAGGGGGAAAAAAAGAAGAAAGAGAGAGGGAGTTAGTGTATGTCCAAGCTTCTAGTAAGAGCTCTGAGGAAATTAGGGCTGTTTTGTGGTCCAGGAAAAGCAGGGTCACAGGTGGGTGTAGTGCTACTTCCTGCCAGAGCCGACGGCGGAGCTTTGGGTCTCCATGGAGACGGCTTCACGTAGCAACCCCGGGAGCGTTGAGCTGAGCGGCGGGCAAGATGGACGCCGAGAGTCTCCTGCTGTCCCTGGAGCTGGCGTCGGGCAGTGGGCAGGGCCTCAGCCCAGACCGTCGGGCCTCGCTGCTCACTTCCCTCTTGCTGGTTAAGCGCGACTATCGCTACAGTCGGGTGCTCTTCTGGGGCCGCATCCTTGGCCTCGTCACCGATTACTACATCGCGCAGGGCCTGATTGAGGACCAACTTGCACCGCGCAAGACACTGTACAGGTGGAGGAGGCGCCGGGGCGGCCGAGGCTGCAGGGCGATACTGAAGGGAGGGCCACTGGGAGGCTTGGGGAGGGTGGGCAGGGACAGGAACCTAGAGGGGCTAGGCCTACGGGGTCGAGGAAGCCGGTGGAGACAGGATTTGAGGGGGAGGGGATGAGGAAAAGTCCGAGGAGCGAGGCGGAGGACCTGAGAACCAAATGCAGCGTAAGTGGGCGGGGAAGTGGCTGGGTGAAATCTGAGAGGGCGGGGCTCCGGGAGAACACTTCCAATTCTTGGTGCAAAGGGCTGCAAGAGAGTTAGAGGCTAGTGGGTTTACGAGAGTCTGGGCCAAGGAGGGAGGCGGAGGAAGGTAAAAGTTCCAGGAAAATGGAGACCGGGAGTTCAGTTTAGAGAAAGGTCAGAAGCCTCATGTGGTGGTGCTATTTGGAAGCGTGTCCAGAGCATCCACCGTGGAGATGTTGACTTAGAGAAGGTGTTCTAGGAAGTAGCCCAGGAAAGCCGAATGGGAGAGAGGGGATTTAGAGCTGGGGAAAATTACCTGGACGCTACCGTAGAGGACCATGCAGCTGCTTCTTGACTACCCCCAGCGATGTTGGGAGCTCAACACTTTACAAAGCAGTCCATTAGGCGCAGGAAGTCGGAAACCTAATCTATCCACACAAAGTCCCTGAAGCAGGTATGTGCTTAGTGTGTTTGTGGAACCTCATACAGGCTAGTGCAGCTAGAGAGGAGTGAAGGACTAGGACATTGTAGGACGTGAGGTCAGAGGAGCATGGGGCTGGAGACAATCATGCATTGCCTTGTGGGACATTGTAAGGACTTGGCTCTATGGAAAGTCATTGAAAGGTTCTGCAGCACGCTCCCTGTAGAGAGCAGACCCACGCCTTTCTTGCCTCACAGGCAAGCATCTTTACTTTTCTCTCCTAATCTCCAAGGGTTCCTATGAGACTTGCAATCAGGGGAGCAGTAGGCGGCAGCAGTTCATCCCGGGCTGACTCCCTGAGCCTGTCTCTTTTTTCTGACTTCCCAGGTAGTCAAAGCAGTCCTGCCTAGGCTTTCTCCTGTTGCTTCTTCTATCCTTAGCCCATCCTTCCCAGTATCACTGTTCCCAGTTTTAATAAACATACTCTCAGAAAAAAGGAAGAAAAGAAAAAGAAAAGAAAAGGAAAGAAAGGAAGAAAAAGAAAGAATGCAAGGTTGGCTCTACACAGAAGCATGATCTGGCTTAGGTTGTAGCAGTTGGGTGGGTGCTAGACGGAAGGGGGAGTGAGTACAGAAGTGGTGAGACCAGGTGGAGGCTATTGCAGTCTCCAGACAAGAGTAAATGGTGGCTTGGTCCAGGGAGGAAGCAGTGGAGATTGTGAGAGATGGTTGGGTTAGATTCTGGACACCAACTAGTAGCTGGGGCTCTGGGAGTCAGTTGAGTGAGACTACAGAGAGAAAAGAGGGGTGAGACTAGATCCCTGGAAATACTAAAGGCACTGGAGGAGGGAGAAGGAAATACTAAAAGTAGGAATGGAAATGCATTTGTTGTCTTTTAGTTCATCCCATGGATGATCTTCTCCTAAGCAGTTTCTTGGGGTGGTGTGGGTAAAACCCATGGTGCATTGGGCAGAGAGTTAAAGTGACAGAGGGTTCCCACACAGCAAATTGTTCTCAGATTGTTGTTCAGAGTTGAGGCAGAGAGGGGAGGGTCGAAAGGGGCATTTTCTAAAGGGGCATGGATTTGAGGGCTGCTGCTTTAGAAAGCTGAGAAGTTTTTGTGTTGAGAATGAGGCAGTCGAGAGTGAAGGGAGGAAAGATGAGCAGAGAGCAGGCTGGGGACGCAGGTCCTGAGTGAATGAGAGAGGAGTGGGAGTAGGTCCGTGCCTGGGGGGAAGTGAGTAAGAAGGGCCTGGGCTGGCTCATGCTCCTGAAGACCTCAAAGGAGGAGAGGTCCTGGACCCTGGGCCCAGTTTTCCTGAGAAATGGGGGATGATGGCCTTACTGTGGGCTCAGTAGGCAGACCAAGTGCACAAATTAGGGGCTCACCAAAGCAGGGGCACCAGCAACAGGAAAATTTAGCTTCCAGAGCTCCTCCAGAATCTTACAGGTATTAAGGAAGGCTCTTGGAATTTTGGCATGCACAAACTTTTTATGATCTTTTTTTAAATTTTAATTTAATTTTATTTTAATCATTGTTCAACTTTTTATGATCTTTTAAAAAATAAAATGGAATTTGCATCACATTTGGGGGTGGGTGCACCATTAGGCACTTAGAGCAGTGTTTCTTGGGTTTCGTGCCTTGGGAGAAGGGTGGTGGCAGGAAGCCCGCGTGAGAGTAGGAGTTGGAAACCAGAGGCATGTGGATGTTGTTGACAGCCTGAACTGCATGGAGTGGAGCCTCTTGCCCCCTGCCACAGAGGAGATGGTGGAGCAGACGTCCGTGGTGAAGGGCCGCTTCATGGGGGACCCCTCACATGAGTATGAACACGTTGACCTGCAGAAGGTGAACGATGGTGATAAAGTCTTTGAAGAAGAAGTAGTGGTGAGTGAATATGAGGAGGGGCGTCTGGAGGAAGAGGGCCTGGGCTATCCAAAACCGAGCCCAACAGAAAGTCGGCAACAACATAACAACACAGCTGAGCAACAGGGTGGGGAGTGGATGGGCAGTGCTTGTGAAGCCTGGCTCTAGGGCAGGGCCAGGGAAGGGGGGTCTGGGCTGAGCTCTGGGGTAAGGGCGTGGGTACAGGTTCTTATATTTTTGTATCAATGTTTGTTTTCCTAGATAACACATCCACATGGTTCAAAATTCAAAGGTACAAAAAAGAGTATATAAAGTGTCCCTCCCATCTCTGTCTTCTAGTCATCCAGGTCCTATTCCTGGGGGACTAATGTAACTGTTTTGAGTGTGTGTCCAAATCTTGCTCCTCAAAGAGCAGCCTGGATCAGAGGCATCCCTCTGCCCTGTGAGTTAGAAATGCAGGTGGAGAGTGGGAGGGAGGAACAGTGCCAGGATCTGCATTTGAGCACATTCCCAAGGGATTCGGAATTCACATTTAAGTAATAGAAGCTCTGTTTCCAGAGACATGTTATGCAAATGCAAACCCAAGCAAACACCTTACCTTTTACATACTCTTTTTTTATCGCAAGAGCAAAACAAAAAGTAATGGCAGTGTGTTATACACACAGTTCTGCACCCTGCGTTTTTTACCTAATATGTGAGAGATCTTTCTACATCAGTGCCTTAAAGAGCCTCCCCACTCTTCACCGTTGTGTGAATGCACCATAATTTAACCACTGTCTTTTTGTTGTTATTTGTTGTTTTTTAAGTATGTTTTTTTGATTATGCTATTATGGTTGTCCCAATTGTTTTTCCCTTTGCCCCCTTCCTCCTGGTACACCCCTTCCCTCCAGAAGTCACCCCCCTTATCATGTCCATGGATTATGTGTGTAAGTTCTTCGGCTTCTTCATTTCCTTTTTTCTGTTTCGTTTTTTTTTTTTTTTTTAGATTTTATTTATTTATTTTTAGAGAGGGGAAGGGAGGGAAGAAGAGAGGGAAACATCAGTGTGTGGTTGTCTCTTGCACGCCTCCTACTGGGGATCTGGCCCGCAACTCAGACATGTGCCCCAGCCAGGGATTGAACCAGCGACCCTGTGGTTTGCAGGCTGGCACTCAATCCACTGAGCCACACTGGCCAGGGCTCCATTTCCTACCATATTCTCAACATCCACCTGTCTATTTTGTTCCTACAAATTATGCTACTTGATCCCTGCACCATCTCCCCCATTCTCTCCTATCCCTCTCCCAGCTGATAACCCTCCAAAAGATCTCGTTGTCTATGATTTGTTCCTGTTCTGGCTGTTTGCTTAGTTTGTTTTGTTTTTATTTTTTAGATTGAGTTGTTGATATTTGTGAGTTTGTTGTCATCTTACTGTTCATATTTTTGACCTTCTTTTTCTTAGTTAAGTCCCTTTAACATTTCATATAACAAGGGCTTGGTGATGATGAACTCCTTTAACTTGACCTTATCTGGGAAGCACTTTATCTGCCCTTCCTTTCTAAAAGAGAGCTTTGCTGGAAGAGTAATCCTGGTTGTAGGTCCTTGGTTTTCATGACGTTGAATACTTCTTTCCAGCCCCTTCTTGCCTGCGAAGTTTCTTTTGAGGAATCAGATAACCTGTGTGTCTCTTCCAAGGAAATGGAGGTTTCCAAGATTTAGCTCTGACAAACAGTACCACAATGAGTGACCTTGTACATACATCATTTCCAGTGTGTGCGGTCTATCTGAATGATCAATTCCTAGAATGGAAAACTAGGTCAAAAAGGAGCCTAAGTTTTGAACCCAAAAATCTCGGTCCAAGTCTGTGATGCCTCAACTCTCACGCCTTCCCACCAGACAACCCTAACTTCCCTTCAGTTTTATTTTCTGTAAATTGGGGTAATTACATTTACTCCTCAGGCTTGTGCAGAGTAAATAAGGTAACATATTTAAAACCCTTGGCCCAGACACTTATATATTAGTTTCCATCTCCCCCTTTGTAAATAATTCCAGCTGATAGCCCATAGGAAATAGGTGGCTGAGTGATTCTGGGGGTCCCTGATTCTGTGTTCCCTTGTCGAGTGCTACTTTTTCCCAAAATACAGTCGTCCCTCGCTACATCTAGGTTCACTCATTGCAGCTTTGAGCCTCAATAAGTGAACCGTGATACAGTGAGGGATGACTGTATCTGTGAAGTCTTTTTGCTGAGGGTTGCCCTTCATATTGACTGTAACCACATTTCATCTGCACAAAAATGTTATGGGGTGATGCTCAGGAAGTAATGTTAAGTCAAAGAGTAGAATATGAAATTATATGCCCTGCTGGTGTGGATCCAGTGGATTAAGTGCAAGCTTGCGAACCAAAGGGTCTCCAGTTTGATTCCCAGTCAGGGCACATTCTGGGTTGCAGGCCAGGTCCGCAGTTGGGGGTGTGCGAGAGGCAGCTGATTGATGCATCTCTAGCACACTGATGTTTCTCTCCCTCTCTTTCTCCTTCCCTTCCCCTCTCTAAAATGAGTAAATAAAATCTGTAAAAAAACTATATAAACTATGACTCTAATTGTGCTTTAAATATATGCATTAAAAAAAGGATAGAAGGAAGTATACCAAAATGTTATCAGTGATAATCTTTAGGAGGTGGGATTATGAATGGTTTTAATTCTCTTAGGTATGTTATAAAATATTTCTGATTACCCAAATAGTTTACAGTGAGCATGATTGCTTTTATATTTTCAAAAGGCAAAATAAGCAATATTTAAATCTGATGATAGAATGGTATGTTTCTGGAAGGGTACATAAAAAACATTAACTGTGGTCACCCCCAGTGAGGGCAATTGAGGGGCAAGGGATAGAGTGAGAGAGACCACTTTTTTTTTTTTTTGTAGTTTTAAATATTGTACCACCAGTATGTACTACCAAGTTAAAAAAAGAAAGAAAATTTTAATAGGAAGAAAGGGAGGGCTGGCCAGTGTGATTTTCCACGGACCTGGCATCCATACTCGGGTAGCCCAGGTCAGGTGGTTATGCAGAGGGCCCTGCACCAGAGGGGAGTGGGCACAGCACCCTGGCAGGAAGGCTTGTCTTCTGGCTCCTCAGGTCCGGATCAAGGAAGAGACCCGCTTGGTGTCCATCATTGACCAGATTGACAAGGCTGTGGCTGTTATCCCCCGAGGTGCCCTCTTTAAGACCCCTTTTGGACCCATCCATGTCAATCGGACCTTTGAAGGTGCGTTCTCTGGGGCCTCTCTCATGGGCGGGAGGGTATCTCCTCCCGAACATAGTCAGACACACATCTGGGTGTCTGGGCGAACCTGCCTATTTCCTCAGCAAAGAAGTAACAGTAACCACATCAGCTGGGAGGATGTGTCCAATGACCTGGCATGGGTTACCCAGTCCCTGGACCCTGACTTTTCTGCCTGAGGGTGGGAGAGCAGTTGGCCACTTGGGTCTCAGGGCTTTGTGTGGGTCTGGCCTCCCTGCCTTCTCCCACCTTCTTCCTCCTTGGTCTTTCTTCACTGCAGGATCTAGGCCAAATCTGGGCTGAAGGAACACTATTCCCTTTTCTCCCTTCAGTTCTCTGTCAGTAGACTTAGTCATTTGCAAGCCCCTCCATGTGGTCCCCATGCATAGAGGAAGTAAAAATAGGAAAAGGCTCCCTTCCTACTCACTGCCTTTTTTTTAGGACTGTCCATGTCTGAAGCCAAGAAGCTCAGTTCCTACTTCCACTTCAGGGAGCCTGTTGAGCTGAAGAACAAGACCTTGCTTGAGAAGGCTGACCTAGACCCCTCCCTGGACTTCATGGACTCCTTAGAGAATGACATCCCCAAAGGTAATAGCCTATTACTTTGAGGACATTGGATCTGTCCCCAGGCCAAAGCAGTGGGCCATGCACCTACCATTTTTCTCTGCAAATGGAACCAAGGGCCTGGATGGGAGATGGTGGTTTGGTGTGAGTCCTTGAGGGTGGGGCTCCCCCAGGGTCCAATACAGGTTTCAGCTCACAGTAAACAGTCAGTAAATGTTTACAGACAAAAGGAAGGATGGTCTTCCATATGCTTTTGGAGACAGGAAGTCTCTCAGTGTCTCTTTTGATTTTCATATTCATCTTGAATAGAGGCATACATCCATCTCTTAGTCTGGGGTTAGATCCAGTGCTTGGCACATAGCTGGTGCTCAGTAAGTGGGTGCTGACTGACTGACTGAATAGCAAAGCACCTGCTAAGGATATGACTTCTGTATATTTGCTTCCTGCTATGTGTGGGGGACTACTAAATCTTAAAACAGCTTCAGAGGCCTTCCTATGCTTCAGGGCCCACCTGGCCCAGGCACATACCCTTGGATGGTGGGGTCACAGAGACCACATTTTTCTTTCCCCTGAGCTTCACCAGTAGGGGATATATTCTAGGAAGATGCTCTTGCCTGGTTGCTGCACCCCAGGACAGGTGCCAGGCTCTGGGCAATGTGAGGCCGACCCAAGATACTGACTCAATTCCCCTGTCTCTTTCGCTCCTCACATTTGGCGCTTCTGAGAACTGGAGGGATCTGTTGTTAATGACGGCAGTGATAATAATAAATGATACTCGTAAGAACTCACAAAACGGTGGCACTGCTTATTTTGTGCTAGGCACTTCACTCAGCCTTTTCCATAGCTTATCTCATTTTAATATTCACAGCCAACCTAAGAGGTAGATGCTGTTATTATCCCCATTTTATAGATGAAACAGACTCAGAGTTAAACCCAAGGGCACATTAAGCGTTAGAGCATTTGACTCCAGAGCTCTATGTCAAATAGATGGTGGTTCTTTTTAAGTGGACAGTGGGAATGGCGGGACCACTAGAGGATGCACTTCTGAGGAGCAAATGAAACCTCCTAGTTGCAATGGAACTCAGGATGGAGGTGGGATGGCGGTCATGGTTAAGGTGAAGTTGTTGGCCACCTGGGTCTCAGGGCTCTGAAATTGCCTCTGATGTTGCACAGCCTGGGTTGGAATTCTGAATCTGTCTCTTGCTAGCTGTGTGACTTGGGCAAGTCCCTCAACTGTCTTGTGCCTCAATTTCCCTCATTTCTAAACGGGAATAATGATATTTTCTACCTCAATGGGTCAGTAGGACAATTAAGAGTTAACACATATACACAGTGCCTAACACACAATAAGAATGCATATAAAAATTAGTAATTATTATTGATATATTTTGCATGGCAAAAGGCCTTAGAGGTGGGTTGGGCAGGCCTAGGAAGGCCTAGAGAGCCAGGGTAGAAGGCCTACCTAGATCAAGGCAGCAGGAGCTTCTGGTGGCTTGTGAACAGGTCTGTGATAATAAGGTAGTGGTACATGGGGGGATGGAGAAGGGGCTAGTCAGGGGTCTGGATGCCATTTCGTGACTGCTGCAGCGCGCCAGGGGCCAGGCAGCGGGTCCCAAGCGGCTAAGGGCTGCCAGCAAGGGATGGCTATTCTGGTCTTGGCCACATGGGGGCGCATGAGGCAAGCCTCCCTGAGCATGGAGATGGGCTTCTGGATCTGTGGGGGGAAATAAAGGTTTATAGGGGTCGGGGCATTTCTCACCCAGGAGATACACTTTCTAGACTCCAGTTACCTCCTCCAGCTCTTGTGTTCCCAGCCACACATCCTTGGGGGCTGATAAAGGAGCCAGGAATGTTGTGACGGTGGGACCCAGTGTCAGGGGCTTAGGGGTCAGGGGAGAAAAGTACTCTTAATACCTTTAATCTGGGGCCAGCAGCCCCACCTCCTGATTCAAGGTGAGGCTGGAAAACCCTGCCTGATGTTGACTTCTTAGCCCTCTCACCTGTAGCTCCCAGGCTAGTGGATGAGGCTCTTTTTCTACACTGTTGGATGATTAGGGGGCCTAACAAAGAGCGCCTCCCACTCTTGGAGCCTCATCCTCTGTGTGGTGGGAGGGACAAGGAGGGTGCTAGGGCCTTTGTAGCCAAGACTAAAACCAGCTAGATGAGCTGCGGAGGTCCAGCAAAGTCTTTCTACGAGAATCCCATTAATCCTGTGTGCCTTGCCACCTGGGGTAAAGGGAACGCAGGAGGCAGCTGTCTCCCCCTGCAGCAGGGGGCATAAGATATGGAGCATTGGGGGGTCTTTCTAAAGGATGCTGAGGCCACCCTGATATGTCCATTCAGCAAGTGAATTTGTAGTATCAGGCCCCTGGGAGGTGCAGGATCTGGGAGATGGATGAGTAGCAGTGGCCTGAGGCCCTGGACATTCTGCCTAATGGTGGGCTTCAGGGCTGAAGGACCAACTGGTAGTCTGACATTTCAGTCCACTCCAGCCTGTGGCTTTGTCCTTGGTGCTGGAGGCTTGGGAGTTAAGGGCTCCTGGCATCTCCTATGTGTGTCTGGGGCCCGGGGAAGGGAGGATCTGGAGGGGAAAGGATGATTTTGGCCTGACCTTGGGAAACCTCACAGCTTCTGGGCCTTCAGCTCCCTTCATCCCAGAGCTGCCACCAGAAAGCCTCCTGAAGTGAGACCCAGTTTTTTCTTGTGATGGCTTGGTGGGGGCCATGGCGCAGGGTTGGAAGTGTGGTCAGGGAGAGCAGGCACTGATTTAGGTCCCAGACTCCCTTCCTTATCTGCCAGTTAAAGAGCAGGAGTGACTGGGAGACTGCCCTTCCAGGGGGAGAGCAGCCAGAATGGGCTGGGCTGCTAAGGGGGCCAAAATCCCAAGGAAGAGTTAGTTCCCTGGGACACCAGCACCGGCTGGTGGGTTGCTTCACCATTTTAGCAGGTGGAATTTGGTGGGATGGAATTTTCTGCTAAAATTATCATTTACTTTCCAGGTCTGAGGCAGTTGTTCAGGGGGATTTCATGTCACCCCTGAGCAGGTATGGTATAGGTTGGCCCTATCCCTGAGACTTTTGCTTTGGGCCCAGGGAGGTAGGTCAGATCAGCAGCCTGTGCCTGGGCTAGCCTGAGGCCACTGATGCCCTCCTGAGCCATCCTGCCATGCCCTGGGGTCTGTAGAATTTTGTGGGTGAGTAGTCTGGGGGCAGAACCATCCTCTTGGTGCATGCCAGGAAACAGCTAAAAGTCCTCTGAGCTTGGGCTGCAGCCAGGAGAGAAAGATGGAGCACCAGATCAGGAGGCCAGATTTCTGGATAGTATTCTGCCATTCCATCCTCCTTAACCACGGAGCAGCTATTGTGTGCCAAGCACTGGGGACATCTCTGTGAACAAGACAGGCATCGTCCTTGCCTCACAGGGGTTTGGGAAGATCAAAAGTGGAAATGTAAAATAGAAGTTGCTTCACCAATGAAGTCATTGTGTCCTGGGGCAGGCGGAGCATTGAGGAAAGCAGAGCAGAAAGGATGGAGGGCAGGGCTCCCCTACTTGCTCCACTAAGGAACTGTGGGGACCAGCCAGGTCCTGGGCTGCTGGGGCTCCAGCGCCAAGAGCTCTCAGCAGCAATGCCCAGTTCAGGCAGCAGAGGGCAGTGAGGGACCTGTGTGCTTGGAAAGCAGCCTTTAAAAAGTGGTGGTGGTGGTTGGGGAAGGGTTAGGGGATATGATGGGATAGGAGAGACTGGGGGACAGGAGCATTGGAGAGTGGCAGGGGGTGGGGGGACATGGTACCCTCGACCAGCCTTCTCTTAGGGGTGTATGCAGGTGGCTCTTCCAACCCAGTCCCTTGGAAGCCTGGCTGACAGGTGCTTGGCCTTTTGGACTTGTTGGTTGGGGGGTGGCTGGCCTTACCAATCAGACAGGGCACTCTACCGTCATACCCCTCAACCACTATGGGACTTGACCATACCTTGTGGCCCTGGTGTGGTGGGAGCGGCCATTCTAAGGAACCCATGCCATTTTGTGTATAACAAGTTGTGTAGTGCTGGTCTGAGAGGATTTAAGCCACTGGCTGCCCCTGGACAGCCCTGATCCCCAGCCTCGCCCACTGTCCCCTCAAACTGAATCTCAGGGCTTTGCTGCCTTTATTCCTGGAGGGCAGAAGAATGTAATTAGGAGAAGCATAGTCTAGACTGACATTTCCACACTGGCAAGGTGGGTGAGACCCCGGGGCTCTGGACACCCAGGACTTCCTGATTGCAGTAGGCCCTGTTCCTCGTTACCAGTTTGTTCCACACAACTGCCTCAAAAAACTGAGCTTGCAGAAGAGTAGGTGCCAGGTGGCAGGAGGGGAGGTTTAAGGAGGGGCTGGGCTGTGAACTGAAACACCAGGGCCACAAGGGGCTGCTTCTCCTGGAACCCTACAGGCACAGGCAGAAGCAGCTGGCTGGGTCCAGCCTTTCTAGCAGTTGCAATAAGTGGGTGAAGGTGACAGCAAATGCCTGGCTTCCCAGGTAGACACTACGTGACTCCTGGCACGTTGAGAGTCAGTGTGTTTCCTGGGCAACCAGCTGAGCCAGGAACAAGGAGAGGACAGGAGTGTGACAGGAATGTGAGGGCGGGAGGGAGGCAGTGTTGTTGCCTGGCTGGCCCCTCACATGCTGCTTCCACACGTGGCCAGCACCCTTCTGCCTGCTTGGCACTGCTGCCCTCCTGCCCCGTGGGGTCAGTGTATTTCTCTAGCATCCCTATCAGTTTCTCTTTGGTCTCTGGTGGTGGGAGTGGGGGAGAGCCTTTGCTGATAAGCCTGGGCCCCCTCCCCTGCTACAGGAAAGAGGTAGCCAACCTCTAAGAGGGCAGGCTGGTGTGAGGGAAGGTCAGGGCCCAGCCCTTGCCCAGGGTGTGCCAAGATGCTAACAGTGAACTGATGAGTGGTCTAGGTTGGGGGACTCCAGGAAAGCATTTAGCCTAGGCAGGTTGCGAGCTGCCCTCCATGGTGGGCAGAGGAGGCAAAGCCTGACCTTTCTCAGTTCAAGGAGGCTGTGTGACAGTGAGCTCCCAGGGCAGGGGGGGCTGCCCCAGATGATGCGGTGGTGGTGGGGGATGCGACTAGTACCTTCCTGGGGTCTGTGCTTCTGGCCAAAGGCTGAACACAGCATACTGTGAATACTTTGTTCTGTCATACCCCCTCCCATTATCCCTGGGTGTTTTTTGGAATAAGGAAAGCAACAGGCTAGGGCCTTAGGTGTCTGAGGGCGGATGGAGGACTTCAGGTGTCCAGAGAAAACTGTAGGAGCCAGGGGGAATACTCTTCTTTGACTAGGACAGCAACCCCCACCCTCCTAGGCAGTAACTATCAGAGCTCTGGTAACCCAGGGACACTCTTCTTGATGCTGTCTGGCCAGCAATGTGTGGTCCTAGGGGAGCAGAATCAAGCTGACACTGTAGCTTACACTTCATCATCTCATACACGGGCGGTGACACTTGGTGCAGGCCACCACACAGTGCTGTGGTGGCTCCGAGCCAGCCTCTTTCTGAGCAGGCAGGGCCAGCTGACCTACATGCACCAGAAAGCTCTTTGATTTTGGGCAGGTGACGGTACCCTCAGCAGGGCTGAGCTGCTGTCAGGGTCAGGGGTTCCTGGTGGCCAGGTCTCTGGGATGCAGGGTGGCCCTTGCTGGGTGGAGACTGAGCTGTGAGGCTGCTGGTTGTGGAGTGAGCAGGGTGGGCCACGGTTGGAGGAGGCCTGTGGGAAGCTGGGGTGGCGGGAGCCAAGCAGCCGGGCTGAGCTGGCAGCCGATGAAGGTCTCAGCACAGCTCTCAGTGCATCACTGGCTGGTCCAACACCAAAACCTTCAAAGCATTTGCCTTTCTGGAAGGGCCTGGAACAGAACTGTGGCTGGACCCGGGAGGGGCCTTGGTGCGCAGGGGAATAGAAGCTCCAGATCTGCATCCAGAGAGGCGATTTTCCCAGGCTCCTTCCTCCCACACATCGGCTCCCTCCCTCAGTCCTGGATATGGATCAGGTCCTTCCCGCCAAGTCCTAATGGCTGCACAACTCAGCCCTGGGCAGGGCTGCTCCTGTCTGGGGAGCAAAAACCAGGGCAGGACTCAGGACAGACAATGGCTCATTAGTTGTAGCCTGGGTCTCTTCCTGCCAAGGATGGCTCCCACACCACCAGTGGCCAGAAAGGGCTATTGAGCTGGGAGGCCTGGAACGACCACTTCTGTGAGCCCCTGGTCAGGTCTAATCTATCTCAGGAACAGAGGATTCTGGGGCTGGGGAAGAGAGTAAAACAGCAAGTGGGGGCACACTGCCCTAGGACTGAAGTCACTAGTGATTATGCCTAGTAGAAGGTGAGAGGGAGCCCGGAGTCTCCCCAAGCCTGGCCCCAACTCCTGCGGACTCGGCTTCCTCCCCCATTCAACCTTTAACTAGACTTGCTGACAGGAACAAAACGCACTCGTTTGAGTTTCACCTCTTTTCATTTCCTTTGCCCTCCCTCTGGAAGTGGTTTTAATGAACAGTGAAATGGCTAAAAGGCAATCAGGAGGAGTAAAGCACTGGGATAATTAAACTCTTCCTTTTTCCCAGTGGAACCTCAGCACCTGGGCCTGGCTGCCCAAGGAGCTGGGGCCTCTGCACATGGGGCAGAGTTGTGGCTCCACAGTGCTCAGGCCTCACCTGCTCTCCAGGGTCCTGGAGCATCCAGATGGAGAGGGGCAATGCCCTGGTGGTGCTGCGCAGTCTGCTCTGGCCAGGCCTCACCTTCTACCACACCCCTGGCACCAAGAACTGTGGCTATATCTACGTGGGCACTGGTGAGAAGAACATGGATTTGCCCTTCATGCTGTAGGTGGGGCCAGCCCCAGGAACTTTCTGTGTAGAGCATAAACATTATTTTCACACATTTCAGTGAATCTGGTCTGTTTGTTCTGTCCTGCCACTTCCCGTCATCTCCACCTCCATCTGGTGTCCAGACTCTGAGGACATCACAGTGCCAAAGCAAGTGGCAGAGGATCAGAATGTGGTAACAAAGAATGGAGGGTGGAAATGGCTGTGGGAGGTGACGGCCAGGAGCCCTGTCTCACCTCCTTGCAGCCCTTAAGCCCAAGACTAAATGGAGGATGGGAACCTGTTTGGCCCACGAACTCCCTCCAGTTTAGTGGCTCAATGCTCAGTAACTGGCTGGAAATGGGCCCAAGCCCCCTGCACTTCCCAAGCAGTGAGCACACAGCCAGTGGGTGAGACATGAGCCTGGTTTATGACATTCCTTTGAGGAGAACTCCTGTCCCCCAGCACAGAGTAAGGCCCCAACCAGTCGTGAGACCCCCTCAGGTGCCAAGGAACCCAAGTGAACTGCGTGCCCCCGGCTGAAGGTACTGAAGGTGGTGTCGCTGCCACTTGTGCCATTCACACTGGAGGAGTCAGGCCGCCCTGGTAGGAACTGGTGACAGAGCAAGGGGACATCTGGCTAGGTTCTCAGGAAGCCCTGCTCCGTCAATGATATAACACCAAAGGCCTTCTTGAGTAGCAGACATTGTCTTTCAGGAGGGGTGATCCCACGGCCATGCGCACCTTATTCCAGCGGTGGCCTTTATTGTAGATGGGCTTGACAGAGCCGGGGGACCAGCGGGTCAGGTACCTGTGGAGAAGGACCAGGAAGTGTGGCTGAGGGCTGGGAGCCTGAACTGGAGCTGGGAGGGTGGGCGCTGCTTCCTCAGGCCAAAGCTGTGATGTCCAACCAAACCCTTTCTCTAGTTTTTCTTCCTTGAGGAGCAGGGGCTTTTCCTGGGAGCAACCGCTGTGTGTGCTGTAAACAGATGGGCTGGGTTCTTGCCACAAGCGTGTGTGGCCAGGGTCAGGCAGACCAGGGCCACGTGAGCTCCCTTGATCTTTAGGAGTTGTCAATGTTTGTATTTTCTGGGGGAGGAGGTGGAGGAAGAGGCTGATGTAAGAGCCTGGAGGAATCCTTCCCTCTCGCCCACTTGGCTCATTTGGCCACCCCAGCCTTCAGGGAGCTCCCCTGGGCAGCCATAACTGGCTGGAGGACCCCTGCCCCTCACTCAACCCATGATGGGAGCCAAGGGCAAGGGCCCCTGGCGGGTATGGAGGAGGGAGTAGGGAAAAATGGCTGCAGCCCACAGTCCTTTGGCCTCCTTTGGGGATGGCCAGGGCGCTGATAGTTCCCGGAAAAGTGGCTCATGCCGGCTAGGATTGGGGTTTACTCCATTCAGAATGGGATTCTGTCCAGAGAGGCCCACCCTTCATCCTGAAAGCTCAGCTATGCCAAAGGCCAGGATCCTCCTGTGCCTCCACTGTAGATTGCGATTCAACATAGCCACCTCTAAAAACCATCAAATAAGAAATTTCTAATTAAAAAAAAATTACCCTTGGATGAAAATTTTTAGATAAAAGTGAAAAATGATTGCTAATTTATACATTTCAGTTGAGCCCCCTTGGACCTTGGTCTTGTCCTGCATGAAGGAAACAGCTCCGAGAGGAGAGAAAAGCTGGGGGAGGTGCGGGCCTGCACTCCAAGTGTGAGGTGGGCTTCTCTGAGTCTCCTGTCAATGTCAATCCCCCCAACAGGGAGACTTCTGAGTGGGTTGGTCCCAGTCTTCGGAGGGGTGGGGAAAGAGATGGGGTGTGGGAGCTGGTTCTCCAAGAGGAGTGCTCACCGGAATTCCAGGACCCCAGAAGATCCCCAGGCTGATCGGGTTGTCCAGAACTGCTGCCCAAAAACTGTTCTTCCCTCCCCTGCCCTGGAGAGACCCGAGGAAGCTGGGCTTCAGCGAGCTCTGGGCCTGATGCCTGTGCCCCATGGAGCAGCCAACTGGTGGGGGAGGGGTGCCTGGGTGGCCTCCAGCCAGCATTTTGGGAAGACTCCAGCTCTGGGAAGAACCAAGGTTCCTTCCTACCTCTCCTGAAGCAGCAGGAAAAGAGGAAGTGTAGCTCTCTTGGGGCCCAAAGCTCAAGGGCCTCTGGATAGAATCATAAAATCCCTTACGAGGGAATCAACCTCCCTCGTAGCCAGGACTGCCCCTCTACCCAGCCCCCCAGAGTGGCCTTTTGCAACCCAAGAGCCCCCAACACATCATCAATCCTGTGTCACGTTAAAGGACACTGGATATATGGGAGGGAGCCTGGCTTCACTTCAAAGGCCTGAGGGCAGACTGGATTGTGTCCTTAGGCCTGCTGCGGTCTCCTCACAAGTCAGCGGGGAGGGTGGGGGGTGGGGGTGGGGGGCAGGGGGTGGGTGGGGGAAGGCTCAACCCCAAAATGGTCTATAGCACATTTGGGAAAGACAGGAAGATGTTACTAGGTCCTGATCCCCCAGGGCTGCTGGAAGATGGCCCAGCTAGCAGTGTGGGAAGGGCAGGTGGAGATGGGTGTGGGGCCAGGGTGCTGGCGAGGCATCAATTAAGACCCAGCTCTGGTCCTATGCCCCCAGCCCAGCAATCTGTGGCTGGTATGTGCCAGGACTCCTACCCTCATGCCTGGGTTCTGCTGGGGATCAGACTAGGAGGTTTGCTAGGGGGTGGCGTCAGTCTTGCTTTGCCTCAACCATCTTTGGTTCCACAGAGGCAGCAGTTCCAGTGCAGTGGCGGCTAGACTGGCTGAAAGAGGGAGGGGCCACTGATAGGGGAGAACAAGAATAAACACCAAAATCATTTTTATAGACCTGGCTCTACTCTCGACAAGAGCGTATTATACATCTGGGAGTATATGAGTGTGGCAATGTCAGAGGTGGGGGAGGGAAAGGAACATACAATAGGATGATTGAGTGTTAGTTAGACAGGTCTGCTCCTCCACCAGAGGGTGCCACCCTGCCTAGCCTGAAAGGCAGATTGATTGATTCCAGGATCCAGGGGCCTTCCTCTTCTCTAAAACCTCAGGACCTCCCGGGTCACCATGTGCAGCTATGCAGGTTAAGTGCCCAACTCGGGGGAACGCCATTCACAATCCAGTCTACATGGATACTGCCTGGAAGTTTTACAGTGTACGATGTGCACAGCTACATACAGGGGTTCTACCCCCAGACAGCAACCCCCCATTTTTAAGCCTCACTTTGCCCTTTAATAACTCTAATGCTGGGATACTGAAAGTCTGAAGTGTTCTGACATTCCCATAGCAACCTAGTATGATGTCATAAATGGGATCAGCATGTTCTGATGCCCAACCAGCAGACCTCCTCACCCTCCTCGCCCCTGTGCTAAATGCCCTACTGGGGAGGGAGGGGAAAAGAGGCTGAGGCCAGAAGGGGAAGGTGACAGAGGCGTGCACACCATCAACTGCAGCACCAGTGGGACTGATGGCGATGGGACCGAATAGACAGCCAAAGGGCACATGGCTTTCCTGGGCTGTGGGATGAGCTCCAATGGCTTCCCTGGCAGAGTACAGTGAGAACTGAGGGCATGCAGAGTGTGTGGGATACTGACACCCAGGTCTGCTTACCGGTTGAGTTGGAGTTTTCTTTTTGGAACAAATCCTTCAGGAAGCGGAGGCCTGTGATTTGGCAACAGACCTGAATGCAGAAGAAACACATAAGGAGATGGTCTCTGCAGATCCCTCTGCAGCTTTTGGGGACCACAAAGACAAAGCCCAAGGAGGTGGAAGGCTGGCATTGAGGGAGTGAAATGAAGGCTCTGGTTGTCCATTTCTCTTCCAGGAGGGGCTGCAGCATGGGGCAGCTGGTGGGGGAATGATGCCTACAACCCTCTGCCCATCTTAGCCCCGAGGGGAACTTCTACCTGCTCGGTGGGCCATCTTCACACACTCCTCAATTTTGCGGTGCTCTTCCTGGCACAGGCCTGTGATCCTTCGGGGTAGCATGCCTCCGTGAGGCCGGATGAACTGACTGAGCAGCAGAACATCCTAGTGGAAATGGAAAACAGGAGACGAGGGTCAGCCGGATGAGCATGTGATACTGGGGAGCCTAGCCACATGACCTGCAGGGGAGGCGGTGGACCCTGGCACTCTTAAGAGGTTGAGGTCTCCCTCGGGAACTGACCTAAGACCATTCCCTCCACAGAACTTTGCACACTGGTCTACTACCTAACAAAAGATAAATCCCAACTTATAAGATTTTCTGGAAAAAAAAAAATTTTACCAATCCTAAGAGCTTTTAGCTCCTCCCTGAGATAATCTTTTGATAGACTACGTTAGAGAATACAAACTCTTTGAGAAATGTTAACAATCTTTCATGCACCTGCAGTATCTTTCCTGGTGACAAAAGTCAATCTCCCAGGGTGAGGGAGAGGGTCTGTCATATATTTCCACACAAGAGAGAAAATCTAATAGCATCTCCGCCCCCAAAGCCTATCTATGTGCCACAGGCCACAATACACGCACACAGTCCCTCCACCTTCTGCCGTTCCCTCTGAGGTGCTAAGCAGGGTACAAGCTGAGCAAAGGACCGAGGCTGTGAAGTTAAATCCCACATCTTCTGAGCCCCCTGTGACCAGATGTGAATGGCTTCTAAGGCTTCCTTTGGACCATCAGATTGCCTTGGAAGAGTCAAGGAAACAAGGGTGAACAGAGCCAGAATCAAGACAAGAAACTATCCCCCCCAGCTCTCACAGGACAGTTGAGGGGGTTGGATAAAAGCCACCATCTCCCACCCCCCCCGGAGGGGCCCGGCACGCCAGTCTTAGCAGTCATGTCCACAAACTGACTCACTGCCCTGGCAGGCGCCTCGCTGTACAACCGCAGATTTGTTTTAATCACTGGAGAGCCCCCGAGGGATCCAGACCCCCAATTCCCACCCCTATAATCTTCAGAATCTGATGAAAAGAACTTGGATTGGATTATCCAAGGCTAATAAACTGGGCTCACAGCCCCAGCCTCCCCCACTGCAGGCTGCCAAGCAAGCTGACAGCTTTGTGCAGCTCAGGCTAACGATGCCCT